TATATATTTTTATCACGGAATGAATTAAAAAGAACCATCTATAACTATTAATACTAAAATACATGTTTCATAAAAATAAATAAAAATTATGATACTTGTCATGTTAAATAGTCATAAATTTTTTTAGTTTTAAAGATTAAAATATTTTACTTTTAAGGAGTTGGTTTATGTGATAATAGAAGACTTATTAAACATAAAAGATTTACATTTAAGTCTTATCATGTTCTTATCATAATAAATAATGTATGTATGTCCGATTAATATTACTCATGAAGATATCCCCCACCACACACACACACACACATATGTCTTTGTTCAGAAAAAGAAAGAAAAAGAAATATATATATATATACATAGATTAAGAAGGTTATTAAATATTATAGTATATTAATATTTTTTATTTAATTTTTTAAAAAATATACATTTTCTTAAATTGTTAGTTATCAAAATGAATTTCAATTAAAAATATTTTTTTTCAAAATTATTAATTAAATTTTCTGATAAAATCAATATAAATAAAAAGATAGATAATGTGTTTTACAGTATTGGCATGGAACAGACACTGACATTTCGTTAGACTGTGTGAGTGACAAGTTTGTCGGACTTTGGAGGAGCCTAGCTAATTAAGGTTGGAGCAGGTTGATGCTATCCTATAGTGTCAATGGGGGCACCATTGCACACTAGCATAGCATGGTAACCACTGGAGAGCTTAAGGCAATCATATTATTTGGTCCTCGTATGCTTGCTACTTTGCTAAATCTATCACATGTCTCCCTTTATTTTTAACTCTTTGGCCCTACAACCACTTTTGAATGAACAGTATATTAAATAAATGCCGACATCATTATACAACGGTTTTGGAGTATTTTATTATTGTTGTCATAACATGTAACATTAATTATGATCTTTTTCTCAATTATTTACGACTTAAAACTATGTTCCTATCTAATTACTTATTTCATGTTTTTCTGAAAACTCTTAGGTTAAATTTTTTTCCTCTTCAAAATATAAAGAATTCGTTTATTTATTTACAAGGATCTGGGGGTTGTGTGGGATTTTTAATTATTTTATGTATGTATTGGTCGGCTAATATAAGATATGAATATAAGTTGAAGTTTTCATTCATGTAAAAAATCTCTTTAAGTTTTTTTTGTTTTGTTTTTTTTTTTTAAACTAACATGATCAGAGTTGTCTTCTATATGTATGACTAGACCCCATTTTTTTTTAAAAAAACCCCTAGTTCTTAATCACTTTTGAGTGAATAGTACTTTAAATAAATGCTGACATCATTATACAACGGTTTTGGAGTATTTCATTATTGTTGTCATAATATGTAACATCGATTATAATCTTTTTCTCAATCATTCACGACTTAAAACTATGTTCCTATCTAATTATTTATTTCATATTTTTCTGAAAACTCTCGAGTTAAATTTTTTTTCCTATTCAAAATATAAAGAGTTCGTTTATTTATTTACAAGGATTGGGGGTTGTGTGGGATTTTTAATTATTTTATGTATGTATTGGTCGGCTAATATAAGATATGAATATAAGTTGAAGTTTTCATTCATGTAAAAAATCTCTTTAAGTTTTTTTTGTTTTGTTTTTTTTTTTTTTAAACTAACATGATCGAGTTTTCATTCATGTAAAAAATATCTTTAAGTTTTTTTTTTAAAAAAAAAAAAAAAACTAACATGATCAGAGTTGTCTTCTATATGTGTGACTAGACCCCATTTATTATTACAAAAAAAAAAAAAAAAAAAAAAAAAAAAAACCCCTAGTTCTCAATCACTTTTAATCACATGATTGCACTAATCCAAAACATCTCAAATAGACGCAGTCCTCATTTACTGAAGTTCTTCAATTGTTTGGTATCACATAAAGCATAAAGCATGAAATGATGCTATCCGAAAGTAAGAATCAAAATCATGATTTAATTATCATACACATAGCCATTACTACTTCATCTATAGCTTTTAATGGAATCAAGTGTTAATTATAAGAGTTTGACATTCCACCAACAATAGGGGCATCACAGATCTTGAATTCAAAGTCTTGATTTTACCATCTAGAGAACCAAAATCAAAGGAAAAAAATACACCCACGTAGGCTGGATTTATTGTTCATATTCTATGGTCCAACTAAATGAATTAATGGAATTATTGATAGGTAGCTCTGAAATTACACATAAAGGTTCCAATTCATTAAATCAATCAAACGACACATGATGCCTGGATTGATTTTAGCTTTACCCCACTTGTTTTTGAAATCAATGGCACCCCCATAATGGTTTGAACTTTAAATTAATTTTTTAGCGGATTTAATACCCTATTTAATTCTTCTAACTATCCAGATTTTAGACAATTCAAGCCATTGTTTTCTTTTTTTAGACTTTTAGGATATCTCAAGTCTAAAAATCTAGACTAATCGACAACTGTTCGATCGGATGCACAAGACAAATATAACTATTCAAAGTATTCTATGCATGCATAAGGATTCGAATCCGATATCGTTTGCTTAAATAACTAGAATCTCTTTTGCTCAAATCAACTCTCTTGATTATTCAAGCCATCATTTTTTTTTCTTTTATTATCTATAAGATATCTCAAGTTCAAAAATTGAAACTAATCGATACTTGTTTGATCGAATATACAAGACGAACACAACCATTCAAATTATTTTCTACGTATATAAATACTTGAATCCGATACCACTTAACCATCTATTTTGCTCAAAGCAACCTTTGTCAGTATTCAAGCCATCATTAGTACCTAGAATAAAGCCATCAAAAATCAAAGGTTGAATGGCAATAACAATAGACCCACTGGACGAATTCTATATGGACAAGAAATGTTCCCTTGCACCTTTTTTTTTAAAAAAATAAAAAGACATACAGTAACATTTTAGTGGCTTTTTTAAATTACTAGAATTTTTTTTACTCAAATCAATTCTCTTAAGCATCCAAGCTATTATTATTATTATTTTTTTTAATCCTTAGGATATCCTCGGATCCAAAAACTCAAACCAATCCGATACCGTTTGGTTAAATACACAAAATAAACATAACTATCCAAATTATTTTCTACGTATAGAAAGACTTGAATTCGATATCATTTAGTCATCTCTTTTGCTCAAATCAACCTTTATCTGTGTTCAAGCCATCATTAGTAACTAGAATAAAGCCATAAAAAATCAAAGGTTGAACGGTAATAACAATAGACCCACTAGAGGAATTCTGTATGGACAAGAAATGTTCCCTTGCACCTTCCTTTTTTTTAATAAAAAGACATATAGTAAAAGTCTTAAATGTGACGCAACTCTCACCGCCCATTTAATTATTACAGCTTCGTTTTTACATTTTCCAAATAAATATATACTGTACCAAACATTTAGAGAGCCAATTTCTTCTCACAAGAAGCATTCGTGGCTGAAATGCAGGGGAGTTGACGTCTCGTTTGGCCCACAAAAGTTTGGTATAGCAATTAATCTGCAAATATAATCCACAACTATACAAATAAATAAATGAATTTATTTTCTATATAATATATTATCTTCGATTATAATTCATGGAAAAGCTGTGAATTTTTTTCTCTAAATACATAATTTTGAACATAAATAATGTTGAAGCATCCATTGAGATATGAGTATATGAAAGTTAATCCAAAAATAGCATAGAAGAAAAATATAATAATCCGTCCATTCCAAAAAGATTATTTATCTTTTTAATTATATATGTTTCAAATATTTTTCTGATCAAAACTTTAAGTGGTGTATTTTTCTAAAATACCAAATAAGTCTATTTGCGTAAACAATTGTCCAAATACAATTTATTTATTTATTTAGAAAAATATGAACAAAAGATGTTATAGCATAACAATTAATAATCTTTTTAGTGATAATAATTTTATTTATATACGTTTCAAAATGTGTGTCGGATTAAAATTTTAAGTGGTATTTTTAAAAAAAATATTCTTAATTAAAATTCAGATTTTTTTTTCTTTTCAAGTCAACTTTTTTTGATAGTAGTGTGTTAATTTGTTTGGGACCGATAGAGCATTGCAATGGTAGTAGTTGGCTATAGTTAGAGTTATCAGTTATTATTAGCTTATAATGCATCCTTATTAATATGTTGTCTCTCTCTTTGTCTCCACATGCACCCTCCTGTTCGTGCGCATGGACTTTGCTTTCTCAGTGATTATCTAATTAGTTTCTTGCATGTGATGCTGCTCTCTCAAGCAAAAACAGCTCATATTCATCAATCTTCTCCATCATTAATAATCATCCTCACTTATCATTGTCATCTAGTACTTTTGCAACTTTTGCTTTTCTTCCTTTTGTCTGATTTCTCAAGAACGTACCTGATTCTGTCTTCTTCTTCTTCTTCTTCTTTTGCTTCTTAGCATTGAATATTCCTGGTAATTGTTAAAGATTGTTTCATGGGGAAGACAGAGGGACTAAGAGCTAAGCTGACTAGTGTGGATGTGGTTTATCTTGAAGTGTTCTTCGTTCAATCAGTAAGTTTTGTTTCAATAAAAAGTGAGCCCTTCTGTTTATCTTGCTTTCTCTCTGCTTTTTGTTCTTTACTGCTGCCTGCTTGGTTTATGAGAAAATAAATGAAGGAAAGCAAAAGAAAATGACAAGGGTCTGAATTTTGATTTCTTGTTCTATTTGCTCACTTTCTCAGCAACCGAAAATGTTCGGTAAAAGAGAGCTGCAAAAGTCAATAAAGAACCAAATAGTATATAGTAGGTTTCGAAATCATGCTTTAGCTGCTAATTTTGACCAAATGCATCCTAATGGTAAGTCTTAGCTATTAGTCGTTGTTTATCTTGACAACTATGTAAGAAATTCATCTACTTCATAATGACAACTATCACATCTGTTTCTGTTTCTAATTCTGACCCATCTTTTAACCAAATTCCTGTAGATGTGACCAAGATTTGGGTAGAAACTTTGCTATTCAGCTGCAAATTTGTTCAACAGTTTGGTACTGAGAGAAAATGAACATGAACAAGGGCCTGTTGTTCATTTTCTCTGCATTTCTCTTCTTTGGAGCAGTTTTCTTGCCAATCGCTGCTGACCCAGTTGAAGATAAACAAGCTTTATTAGATTTCCTTCGCCATATTCATCACTCACACACTGTCAACTGGAAGGAGAACACTTCTGTGTGCAATAACTGGACTGGAGTGTCCTGTAGCAATGATCACTCTAGAGTTACAGCCCTCAGGTTGCCCGGAGTAGGATTTCGTGGCCCAGTTCCTTCCAACACTCTTGGTCGTTTGTCAGCAATTCAGATCCTAAGCCTCAGATCTAATGGTATATCAGGTTCTTTCCCTTATGCTGAATTCTCCAAACTCAAAAACTTAACCATCCTTTTCCTTCAATCCAATGACTTCTCTGGCCCATTGCCTTCAGATTTCTCAGTTTGGAATAATCTCGTTATCCTTAATCTTTCTAATAACGGCTTCAATGGGAGCATTCCTCCTTCAATATCAAATTTGACTCACCTCACATCTTTGAACCTTGCTAACAACTCCCTCTCAGGCGATATTCCTGATATAAATGTTCCCAGTTTACAACACCTTGATTTAACCAACAATAATTTTACTGGAAGTGTGCCTAAGTCTCTTCATAGATTTCCAAGTTCTGCATTTTCCGGTAACAATCTTTCTTCAGAAAATGCCCTTCCTCCAGCTCTTCCAGTTCATCCACCAAACTCTAAACCATCAAAAAAATCCTCAAAACTAAGTGAACCTGCAATATTGGGGATTGCCATAGGTGGCTGTGTACTATTGTTTGTGGTTATTGCTGTTTTGATGTTTTTCTGCCACTCTAAGAAACAAAGAGAAGGTGGGTTAGCAACAAAGAAGAAAGAAGGGTCTTTGATGAAAACAGCTTCGAAGAGCCAAGAGCAGAACAACAGGCTATTCTTTTTCGAGCATTGTAGTCTTGCATTTGACTTGGAGGACTTGTTGAGAGCTTCTGCAGAGGTGCTTGGGAAGGGAACGTTTGGGATAGCTTATAAGGCTGCGCTCGAGGATTCATCCACAATAGTGGTGAAGAGGTTGAAGGAAGTGACAGTGCCAAAAAAGGAGTTTGAGCAGCAAATGATAGTGGTTGGAAATATTAGGCATGTGAATGTGTCTCCATTAAGGGCATATTACTATTCCAAGGATGAGAGACTTATGGTCTATGATTTCTACGAAGAGGGCAGTGTGTCTGCAATGCTACATGGTATGTCAAAAACCTTTTACATTGATACATTCTGGTAGGCAGCTTTCAGGGATGTTACTCATTGAAAATGAACCTTACATTTTGCAGGTAAGAGAGGGGAGGGCCAGACTCCGATAGACTGGGAAACACGGCTGAAAATCGCCATTGGTGCAGCAAGGGGCATTGCTCATATCCACACACAGAATGGTTGCAAACTTGTCCATGGAAACATAAAATCCTCTAACATTTTCCTCAATTCCCAAGGATATGGCTGTGTATCCGACATCGGTTTGGCCCCGTTGATGAGCCCGATGTCGCCACCGATGATGAGGGCGGCAGGCTATCGTGCCCCGGAAGTAACAGACACTAGGAAAGCAACCCCTGCATCTGATGTCTACAGCTATGGGGTCTTGCTGCTTGAGCTTCTCACAGGGAAATCCCCCATGCACGCCGTGGGTGGGAATGAGGTCGTTCACTTGGTGAGATGGGTAAATTCCGTGGTAAGAGAGGAGTGGACTGCTGAAGTTTTTGACGTAGAGCTTTTAAGGTATCCAAATATTGAGGAGGAAATGGTTGAGATGCTACAAATAGGACTGGCTTGTGTGGTGAGGATGCCAGAGCAAAGACCCAAAATGCCTGCCGTCGTGAGAATGGTGGAGGAAATTCGGGCAGTAGGCACCGAAAACCGGCCGTCCACTGAGAGTAGATTAGAAATTGCAGCTGCAACCCCATCACCGCAGGCAGCTGAAGTAGGTACTTCCTCTTCTGCTCAACCGTAAGATTGTTTCTTCCTGCTATTTCTTGTTGTAACGCAAATTTTTGTTTTTCAATTATTTGAATTGCGCAGTTGGTTTGAACTAATTGAGTTTATTTGTATATCTTTATATCTCTGTGACAAATTATGTCATAAAATTAGTTTAGTTACCTCCTCCAAGCCTCTAACTAAAGGCAAAGGCAAGTTAGGTTCTTTTCTATTGTATTATTTAGTGATCAGGACTTCAATGCTATGCCTATGGGTCTATGTAGTTTTCGCAGCATAACGTAACTCGATCTACCTTTGTATTTTGAGGGATTAATGGGTCCAGGATCCACGACTTGTAGTTCTTTATTGATGCCTTAATGTGCCAAAACCTACTTAATAAATGGTATCGAACAATATAAACTGCCCCTTTAAATATATTTGGATGGCGATGGGGATTGGACTAGCCAGGTGTATGCTTTCAACAATCAAGACCCCACAAGAATTTATCCCGATCTCCAGTCCTGTGCGATAGAGATTTAAGAACTGATGAAATACATTTATAGAACGTTGTAAATTTATTTGAAAATGACCAAACCAAATATGCAAAGCATCCAAATTTTGTTTAGTTAGACGAAAACAAGTAGAAGCCACCATATACTAATTTATATGGGATTATGGGAATGAGATTATGGTAATGTGATTTTGATTGTAAATGGCGATTCACCATTATAAAATATATCAAAATTCATCCATACAAGAGTACCTGTTTAAGCATGTATTCTTCTTCATAACGAGATATATCCCCTTGAAAAGTAAACCGACATGAATATAATATATCATGGTATGCATGATACATGAAGAACTCTTATTGCAGATGCGCAGGGCCGTACCTTCGTATAAAAGTAACAGAGATACGGAAATTGAAAATTGATTAGAATAGATGGGCAATTAAAATAACAGAATAACACCAAAAACTTTTTAACACAAGAGCCGTCTAAAATGCTTTCTATCAAGGATGGGAATTCACGGGAATTTTGCAGCCTAACTCATCCAAAATTGAGTCAATCGAACATTCCCGAGGGTTATCAAAATTTCTTCTGCTAGGTGAATTGCAAGTATTGAATGCAGAACAGAATCATAAGCAGTTCAGCTGGTTCTGAAACAAAGTGCATTTGGACCTTTTATCTTCCAAATCAGCTGATGATCATCTTGTTGAGATATTCAGCTTGTTCAGGAAAGTAGTCCAGTAGTTCATCCTTTGTCACCCAAACAAAGTCTTCACACTTTCCAATTTTAAATTTGTTCGTTGCAATCACCTGGGACTTGAAAAAGAATTGCTGGAAAGGAAAAAGGAAGTTACCAACAAATAACACGGCCAGCAATTTAAAAGGCCAATCTTATACCACTATATAGATTATCTCTGCATACCATCAGCAAATTACATGTAGGCAGATTTACATGTTGGCTTAAACAGGGAAAAAAAAAACACTTAGTAAATATGTGTTCACCATCTTGATGAACAGAACAATCAAATAATGGTATACTAAATATTGGGCACAACATCTGTTCCATCCATACTCTACTCACTGTAGGGTTAATTCCAGAAACATACCTTGTAGCCAGAGTCTTGTGCATTATCTGTTGGCTGTATGACCATGTGACCCATAGGAGCATTTCCAACAAAATACGTATGAGAAAGTTCACCTAAGACAGACTGTAATGCAGATTCTGCACACTGCAAAGGTTTGGAATTTATATGAGAAGAAGATAAAACAGGGAGAGAAGGAAATGGATAATCACATAGCAATATTCACCTTACGCAATGTCTCCTCAGTATCGTAAACTTTTTCAGGAAAATGCCAGACAGGCTTCCTGCTAGACCCATATGCGTTTCCATATAGAAGAAGATAAAGTCTTCTGTCAAGTGCCCTCTGTAATGACCTATGCAAAATAAATTTAGAGGTCATAATCATTAGAATCCTGATTGTTTCTAGGAATGATTATCAATGTAGAGCCAAAAAAGCAAAACTCACATGACGTAACCCTTGCAGCCTAGAAAGAAAAGAAAGCTACTCAGACAATCAGAATGCATTAGAATATAAAAGCTCCTTCACTACAGCATGGGCATGGAACTATGACATTCAGCAAACAATCAGCAAGAAGAAGCTACTGTTGCTTCACTCGGGCCCCACCTTTGCACCTTAAGAAATTTAAATCACATAAAATTACCAAATTGCTAGGAACATCTTTTAGTTCCAGAGCAAGGCTAATCAGATGAGCTAGCCTGCTGCAGCAATGCTAATATTCATGCTCAAATTTTGCTAGGTCATGTTAAGAGTATAGCAACATAAAACCCCGCAAAGGATACAGACTGGGAAAAAACAACCCCGCCATTGCAAGAACTTTGCACAGGACATGCATGCTTTGTATACCAACCATATATCAAGTATTTGAAGCAGGATGAACAAGAAAATATTTGGTTACAAAATTGCCATAAGATTCCTATTGTTCAACATACAAACAATGTGCCAAAGAAACTTTGGAGGAAGAACTCTAGATTGAAAAACATAACTTTTCCACCTATAACCTATATTTCAGAAAAAGGTTCTTCCACCAATTCCAAAGCTTGTTCTAATCCAATTCCTGAATAATTTCCTTGATACCCCAAAAAGTCTCTCTTTTCGACCCAAACTTGGAAAAGATTGCCAACATACATACATACATACATATATATATTGGCCTTCATGATGCAATCTATATAATGCAGCTAGAGATGCCAGTCTAACAATATAAAGACTTGAGCAAATCCATCTGAAAGTAAATTAATCATCTACATTTTAACAAAAATTGTGAAGAAACAACATCCACTTATCTATTTCTTACTTTTTATCATTTGTCTTGTCAGCTTCCGTGATGCGTGGAGCTGGTTCATACTCAATATGATAGTCACCTTTTCCACTAGTTACAGCAGTACAAAAGGAAATTAGTTAGAAACAACTAAAACTTCATCTGCATTTTGTTGGCTTCCTAGGATTCATAAATATCAAAAGGTTAAATTTCACTAACCTAGAACTAGATTTGTCTAAAAACTCATCTGGATATCTGCGTCGATACTGCTGTCGCCAACGAAATCTACACAAAACCCCAAAAATAATTCAAACAGAAAATTCGGCAAAACAAAAATTGATGAACTGGTAAAATATCGAAAAAGAAACGAAAACTTAAAATTGTTCTATAACAGAGTAAATAAAAGCACAGAAAATTTAAAATTTTATAAGAAAAAATGAAAAAGAACGGACAGAAACTCACGAGAACTCCTGAAATGCATAAACCACAGGGTCGATTTTGGGAACAACAACCGGTAATCTCTCGAAGAGGACAGAAGCTACGATTTTCTCTGGTTTGGTGCAAAATCCTCGCTTTGTTACTAGAGATTGAGCCAATAATGTTAACGATCTTCGCATTGTGGATCTACAGATAGAAACACAATGATTTATACATGTGAGAGTTGAAGTGGAGAAAAATTAGGAAAAGCCCTCCTTAAACCCTAAAATTATCAGTAGGGCAGTGTCGAAAGTGGAGAGTGAAAGAAACATGTTTTAATTCTTCCGATTGTTCCCCAATTAAACCTTCTTTGGTCCCTATTTTCTCAATTGTTTTAATTGACACCCGAATTGCCCCCCCCCCCCCCCTCTTTTTTCTTTTCCTTTTTTTTTCTTTCTCAATTGATTATTTTTTGAAACTCATGAAATTAACCAAAATTTATGAAAACTTATAAAAATAGTTGAAATGTTGAAAAATCAAATTGATCTAGAAACATGTTTAATTTTTGGCATTTTTAGATTTTTTTTTTGAAAATATTCATAAAAACTTGATTAAAATTAAGTGTCAACTCTTTTTACATTATTTACGATGCAAAGTCATTAAAAATATTTTTATTTGGCTTTGCATGGTAAACTTGTAAAAAAATAAAACAAGAAAAGGAAACAATTAAAACACAAGCAACAATCAAGCAAAGCAAATGAACGGTAGAATTCAAATGATGATTGACTATTCCTAAATTACCGATCAATGTGGAAAACCATTCCGTGGTTAACACGAGTGACATTTCCTTAATTTATAGTTAATACGAGTAACTATTTTCGAGTTCAATAAGGTGATGTTTCTCTAAAATTAAGTTAATGTAAATAACCATCTCCGAAATAAAAAATGTAGGTAAAAATCTCCAATATTAAAAAAGTGACATTCTCCAAGAATTAGTTAATGCAAATAATTATCTTTGAGGTAAAAAAAATGAATTTTTCTGAAAAATAGGTTAATACGGATAACCATTTTCAAGATCAAATATGTGACATTTCCTTGACAATTAATTAATATAAATAATCATCTCCGAGGTAAAACAAGTAACATTTCTTTGCTCTTTAATTAATATGAATAACCATATCCGAGGTCGAACAAATGACCTTTCTTTGATTTTTGGTTAATATGGGTAACTATTACCGAAATCAAACAGGAAACCCTCTGATCATGAGAGTGTTTTAGAAGACTCACCAGAAATGACTGTCCTCGCAGAACCAAGAACTGCTAGATAGAATTGGAATTTCAAGAACAACTGGTATTTAAGTAGCTGCGAAGTACAAAACATCATCTTGAACTTACAGTTCTAAAATCAAGAGCTCACATTCGAAGATGAACAGAGATTAAATGTCAGTTTTATGACACCATCACTTCTTCATGAACAGAATTCACTGTTTGTAGTGCCAGTGTATCTCATAAAAAATTTGTGTTATGTAGAACAATTGAAAGGCAAAGTTTATACACCTAAGGCCTAGCCAATACAGTTTTAAGCCAAAGCAGCTATTCATCAGCCAGCAAGTCGAAGGTGAGTCCGGCTCCTGAGATATAGCTCTTCCATGGTTTCAACTTCTTCCTTTCCGGACGCCCTCATGCATATACACAAATTAATGGGTCGCCTGCCCCCAAAATACTTGAAGAATCAAACTGAAATTGGAAAAGGATTGGCATCATGGGTACCATCTCCTAGAGAGAACAATTTATATTGCTTTTGAACATCCAAAATAGTCTCATTTCATACAAACGCAGCCAGTTTCTTACAGAAAAAATTTACAATCCTTTTACTATAGGGATTACACAAAAAAACAAAAAAAAAAAAAAAAAAAGGAAAGAAAGAAAGAAAAACCAACATCAACAAAACAAATATCACCCCGATGCCGTGTGGAAACTCCCAATGCAAAGGGCCAATAACCTTCACGCTTTTCAATGAACAGAGTGAATCTCCTGCATAGTCTATAAGCATATGAAAACATATGTGAACCACTACTCACTTCCTCGTGATTCTGGTTTTAACACCACCTGAAACACACATAAAAAGAGATATGAACAGAAGGCTTCACGACCACATTCAACTGATTTAACCCGACTACTATGTAATAGTGTATTATTACAGTTGTAATAGATGGAGTAGTTATCCTACAAAATAAAAAATAGTTTCATATTATAGAAGCACGGACCTTCAACTTCCTCAAACTGAATTTCCTTTACCAATTCAGCATCCGCATTATATTCAAAGCTGCAAAGGTAAGGGGAGTCATCAAGTCAGACTTCAGAGAATGCATCATACAGAACAAATTTTAAATGTAACTCAGCCTGCAAGGTTGGGAAAAGAAAGAGGGGGTGGTGGGAATAAAAATTAACCGGTTGCCTTCTTAAAACTGATCTTTAAGCAATCTCATGTTTGCAGGTGTCTTATAACTTGCATACACTATAAGACCAAAGTACTACTATTCACAGTGCTAACAGTTTTCTCTTACTCTAAAATATGTCAGAAAACCTCTCTTTGTCACTTCTGATAACAGAAAGACAAAACATGTCATATCCAGTGACTTCACTGTTTTTATAAGCTAAATTCCTTGCTTACAAACATGTTTGCATCTAACAAGCTGGCTTAAAAAATCAATGGCATAAACGTTATATAAAAGCTAATACCAAAGATAGTATATGATAAAGCAAAGTGCATCTATCACAAAATCTGGCTGTAGCATGGATAAATGGATTATAAAATTAAACCTCAACTATCCTTCAATTAAGTATCTATTTAGGATCATCCAAGAAATCATAGGAAAAGTAAAACATTGAATGCTAATGCAAGAACAGTGAAAGATATCAGTTTATTCATTTTACCTATTGGAAAAAACCACCTCAAGTTCATAGTCAGAAGCACTCTTGGTAGCTTCAACTAACACTGTAACGATTTCAGTCTTTCGAGTGCTGGCCATGAGAAGATCATACTCGGTTGGAATGATAATAGCAAAGAAATTATCACTTAATTCACTCAAACATATCTTTTCTACAGCTGCCAGTGCTATCCGTCGTTTAAGCGCATTAGCCTCCGAGTCAATAATGTAAACGGCAAAGTCAGTTATTAACAATATACGTCGTTTCATCTTTCCTGAACTAGTGAATTTCAAAACTTTATCGGCAAAGAGAACTTGCTTGTCGCCTGCAAAAATCAAAATGAAAAGCAAGTTTAAAGATATCTTAAGCTCGGAAGAGTATTTAAACATGTATCAAATTAACAGGCTAACTCTTCCCTGAGCTCTGAGATGATCTATTTATGCCACCTATTCACATCTCAGATAATGAAAGAAATAATCTCCTATTTAATTGAAATTGGCCAGGGGGCGCGGCTTGGGGAAGGGGGATTGGGATTTAAAGAACTCTATACCAATGCTCCATGTCAATTTCTGTGCATGATACTTTTATTCCAGAATCAACATGTGCTACTTTGAGTTGGTTTTAGGGGTTGAAAGACTTAAATTTATTATAAATGCTTATGTAGCCCATATGTTATGAGCTAGTACGTTGATAAGATGCAGCCAACTTAGCCGCTTATTCCTACCCTACTCAAACATAAATGAATTGTAATTTGGTACTTTCTCTAACCAACGATATATTTTAACATGGTGCATAGAAACAATGTTAAGGAAAATACAACTACACACATACTTATGACTATTTTCTAATTGTCCCTTTTAGAAAAATCGAAATGAAATATAAAGATTGCCACAAAAAAACTGTTTATAGTAATAAAACTATTCTTGAAAAAGGAGAACAGAGAAGCCCCAAGATTTGTAAATGCTCAAGTCATGAACTCCAGGGAACAACTTCTAAAGCTAAGGCCATTCTTCAATCTAAGAATTTCCAACATTCTAAAACCTTTCTTTCAAAGTCAACAAGACAACGCTGTTTCAACAGAATTTATGGACTTGCTGTCTTCTTTCTTTCTTCCTTCCTTCTTTTTATTTATTTTATTTTTTTATCTTTACAAAACCTCCACCTTCACAATGTTCAGACACAAGATGAGCATGGTTAACAAAGCAAATGGGTTGCATTAGCAGGTGATAATCGATAGCCACTATAAAACTAAATCAAACTCAACAAGAACAAATCCAACTACTACAGCATAAAAGCTTAACATACATGGCCTTAAACCTTGTGCATTCAACAAAGAATATCCATAACTGTGAATCATCAAACTCAACTAGTTCAGCACACAAGCTTATTTAAATTTACTTGAATTATTTGTCAAGCACCAATTCTGATGAAGAAACCAAACATAATAAACATAAAATGCAACATGGTTAATTTCTAAACTAAATGTTCTCACATCAAATAATTTGCACTCTCTGAACTATACAGAATCAACAATAAAAACACAAAAACCAAAGCAAAATCAAATCAAATTAAAACCAAAAAAATACACAAAATACTCACAACCTAACTTGCCATTTACAAAGCAGGACATCTTAAACCACTTTAAGCAGACTAATAGCCAAAAATAATCAAGACCCAGAAATCAATCATCAATTAGAAAACCAAAAAATGCCCAGAAAAGTTAACAGAATTTGAAAAGGGTAGATTAACCTTGTTTTTGCAAAATCTTCATCAAATAAGAATGAGAAGGAACATCAAGATAATCCCCTCTGATATCTCTATGACGCGAAGCTTTTCTTCGAACTTTTACACCCATAAATGGCTCTTGATCGTCACTCACATTGCTCCCTGTTGTCGTTAATCGCGCTACCCCGTTATTATTACTTTCATCTCCTTCTTGATCAACATTTTCTTCTTCGGCGTCGTCGTATTTGGGGAGTTGCAAATCGGGGATTTGGACTCGCCCGTTGTATCTGTTCATTTTGCGATCGGTTATTTTTTGGGGATGGTGAGTGCTGGCGGTGGCCAAGTTGGTTCCGCTTGTTTGGTGAGCAGCACGTGCTTTTGGTCTGGATTTTCACGCTAGCCAACGTCAATTATTTGCTGAGGTGGCTAAACAAAAAAAGGGAAAGAAAAAAAAGCCCTTTTACTTTTTAAGTATTTCTTCTTCTTTTTTTAGATTTTTTTTATTATTTCATTAACTAAAAATTAGGATTTATAAATTTTTTTTAGATTAATATTTAAAAAGAAAGGATGTACAAATAAAAAAAAAGCAAAAAGAAAGTTTTATTTCATACACTTCTTCGCATTCAAAATTAAAATATTACAATTTTTTTTATAGCAAATGCCATATTTTGTTAGAATGTGATGGAAATCATCAGAGAAACACGTGCTTTATCAGCAAGATTTTTCTATGGTAGAATTGAATAGAAAGCAAGAGTGATTCTTTTTTCGATTTTTCTTTGTACTTTATTTGCATCACAGGGACATAATGCTAAGAGAAGGCCAAAATCGAAATCAAATATTAGTATTAGATGGATAGTAGACTTTTAAAATTATGAGGGTTCCAATTGAATTAATGTATAATTTCAATCTAGTTATCAAAAAAAAAAAATTACAATCCGACCTATTTAATTGAAGTTGTTGTATTTCATTTTTTTTTTACTCATGAGGAAATATAATATTCCTAAGTCAATTTTCATATGCGAAGAAAAAATTATATACATTAATCCTGAGTTTTTTTCCTTAAATAGAAATTTTTTAATCTATTTTTCAAAACAAAGCACTTTAAATATTATTTATCAAAGGTGAATAATTTTTGTCATATAAGTATCCCAATTATTATTTTTAGTTAAGTGGTTATTGTATAAATTTAAAAAGTTAGAAATAGAATAGAAAAAAAAAAAACAGAAGAGAGCTTAAGTCTTTTTTTTTTTTTTTTGCTATTTTTACCCTGATTTTTTAAAGTTGAAATACTTTTACAATTAGTAAAAAAAAATTAGCATATTTACTCTCAATTAAGGAACTTTTTAAATTTTGTTTGCTTTTATTTATTTATTTTTGATAAATTATGAACTTACAATATAGTCATTATTAACACACAATCAACATAAAATGAATAAAGAGAATCATTGTTCACATGGAACCCTCTTATGCAGAAACCATTTTTCAACGTGGAAAAAAATTATATATATTTCAATTTTTCTATCTCGAATTTGTTTTTTTTTAAATGGTATTTTCCAATTTAAAAAGAATACAAACTCATTATCATTCTTCGTTGTTTTTAAGGAAATAACGGTCAAATGATGACAGCTTACCGTCAAACAGTCATCAACTCGTTAACGAGTTGAACATAGCGCAAAGACCAAAATTGAGCCAGCCATGAAAGAACTGTACCATCTACGCGTCTGGAGGGTGCGCCGTTGACGCCGTCCATGCCAAAAAGACCAAAGTAAACGACGCGGTACGGTAAAGATATTCACCTCATCCAAAGAAAACCATGAAACGACACCGTAATACTACCAGAAAATTTCCATCCACTGATTTTTCTTTTTCCCTTTTTTGAAACATCAGTACTATCCGCTAATAAAAATTCAAACAGTAACAAACAATGTTAACTACCACCACCAAATATTTGAAATAAAAGGAAGATACAAATAAGTCCTCTAATGAAGATATATATTTCAAATAATTCCTCAAACCATACAATTTTATAATTTAATGTATCTACCATCGCAATTATTTTAAGAAATCTTTCAATCACTGTTCATGTAAAAACTAAGAAGTGTATTTATTCTAAATTAATTAATTATTTTAATTAAAGATGCATTTAATATAATTAAATAATAGTTTCGTTAGTCCATATACTCTTAATTTACTTTTTGATAGTTATTTTCTTATGTTTTTGTTATTTTTGGTTTAACATAAAAAAATTTATTTTATTAATTACAATATAAATATTTTTTTTAAGATTATTTTATTTAGTTTGGTGTGTGAAACTAGGCTAAATTTTTTAGAATTGATTATTTTATGATCTTGGTGGTAAAGGCATAAGAACCTCTAGTTTGGTGACTGATCTAAAATATTGATCAAATTTAAAGTACCAGCAGATGATAAACTAATTCAAAAATGGAAAAACAAAAAGCAAGATTATATTCGGCGGCTACTTTCGGCGAAAAACAGAGGGCAAGGTAACGTATAAAAAACGCGAAGGAGGATGGTCCATCCGCTATTCAGAAAGAGCAAAGAAACAGAACAATCCAATCACAATGTCGACACTTTATTTATTATTTATTAATTATTAAAAAAAAAAAAAAACGCTGTCCACCAATCAATATAAAATCCTTTACCTCACAGGATCCTAAAATTTCAATTTTTTCTTTGTTCTCTCTATTTTCTTCTCAACAAACAAATCTCATAAATATAAAACCGTTGTTATTGAGAAGGAGGATCGATTCGGTACGGGTACGATTCTCTTCAAATTTCTGGTTATGGTGTTGGTTTTGAGAGGATCGATCTAGAGAGGTTGTTGATGATGATGATGAATTTTGTGTTTTTATTTGTATTTTTGCAGGCTAATAAGAAGAAGAGATGGCATCGAAACGGATCTTGAAGGAATTGAAAGATTTACAGAAGGATCCTCCTACTTCATGCAGCGCCGGTATTATGACTTGCTATCTTTTTTTCTTGTTGCTTTGTTTGACTTTGATTTTTGACTAGTTTTTTAGCGTTTTGGTTGATCTGATCTCACCGTTGCGTATTAGTTTTTTTTTTTTTTGAATTGATGATGATGTTGGTGGTGTTTTTGTTGATTATTAAAGCATGAATGCAATAGAAGTGATTAATTCTGATCGATAATGTTATCTATTAAAACAAAAATTCGATATTTTTGTGGGAAAGCCAAAGATAATGTTGAAGTTTTGGTTGATTTTAAAAAATTTATGGCTGAAGAACTTGTATATCCTGATCAGCAGGGGTAAAACCTGGGACAAAAGGAATGGAAAGTTTGGGATATGGTTTTAGTACGAAGGTTTTATTTATTTAATTTTTTTGTTTGTTTGTTTGTTTCGAAGGTATGGAGAATGATGAATTGAAAACTAATACTTGTTGATTATTTTTATTTTATGCTGTTTAATTGATTTGTTTGCTTTAATTATGGGAATGTTGCAGGTCCTGTTGCTGAAGACATGTTCCATTGGCAAGCAACAATTATGGGTCCTCCAGATAGTCCTTATGCTGGCGGTGTTTTCCTGGTTACTATTCATTTTCCCCCAGATTATCCATTTAAGCCTCCCAAGGTAAGTTTTTGCTCTCTGCGTGTGAGGCATAACTTTTCTTGTTCTGAAATGTTTGAAAGTTTTGTCAAACGCTAATGATGTGTAGGTTTGGAAGAAGTAAAAAAGTATCAGATGGTTTTGAAAGATCTATCTATATGTTTTTCTCTTGAATGCTTGTATACATATATCGTTACCAATGCTGTCTGCATAATTTGTGCAATCTGCTTTAACTGTTTTTCCTAATTCATATGAGTGCTTAATCTTCCTTTTGCTAATCATAGTATGAATGGTATACACTAGGTAACCTACAAGGAGGAATCTTTGTGGATAAGCCTCTGATTAGCGAACAAAGTCTTTACTTGACAATAGAATAAAGTTCATGCCCTTTTAAAATGTACTTAAAATTGCTGACCTTTGTAACTCGAATCACTTGCATTTTTCCTTTTCTCTCCTCCATGCAAGAGGGTTCAGGTTCGAGCCTCTCCTTTGTTTATAAACAAAGTGTTAAGCAGTCCTGGGACAGCTGTCTCCTTGTTTCCTGGGATTGGTATTGAATTTATTTTCAACAGAAGCTGATTTATTTTAACCAAAGGCATCTCTTGTGTGAATATGTTTGAAACTCATCTTAATTCTATGCTATCCTTAAATCAGCAGAAGAAATAGAAACAGAGGGCGTTGGATGAACTATAAGCTTGAAAACCCGATTTCACGCTATAAGCATGAGCCTGTTTTGCTTTATAGGATCTAAAGACACGATACAATGCTATGCAAGGAGGTCTGATATAATATGAGCTAAGATGTGAAGTTTATGTTAAATGATGCAGCTCTTGCATCTAAGGCTTGTGTATGAAAATCAACTTTTGTTATAATTTTAGAGTAAGAATAGGCTTAATTTCTTAATTGCAATTGAAGAAATTCTAGTATTAATGAGGGAGGGTCTGTCACCAAAGCTCAAGTCAGCTGAATATGAAATAAATGATATTACATGAAAGGTTAAAGATATAAGCTGCCCTGATTGAATGGTTCTGCCTCTGCTAAGTTGCTAACTGCCATGCGCAATACAAAAATTAACTTAAGGCACTTCTGTTTGTTTGGCGACTTGACCATGGGAGTTTATATGACATTCTATTCATTGGTATTTGCTGAGTAGTTTTAGCTGCTTTCTTTTTGTGAATGCCCTGTTGTATTCCTGGTGTGTTGTTTATGCATCCCATTATACACTATCTATGACACTTCTGGATATGCAGTTGAGAATTTAATCTCGAATGCAGTCTCTCTATATGTGTGTGATTTCATCGTGTATGTATCTTGCAGGTAGCATTCCGAACAAAGGTATTCCACCCAAATATAAATAGCAATGGGAGCATTTGCCTGGACATTTTGAAGGAGCAATGGAGCCCTGCTCTAACCATATCCAAGGTTTTTATTCTATAACCCTTAAAGCATTTTATCTTGGAGTTAAGAAGAAAGTGCGTTTTTTACTTGATGGATTTGTGTTAGTTCCACATCATTTTTTTTAACTAGAAAGGGATAATTGTTTATTTACCAATCATTTTTTATGTGTTAATGAATCAAATTGTCCATTCAACATATAGAGCTGATCTGCCATTTCTGAGAGTTCACCTTTTTGCAGAAAAGATATGATGACTTTGAACTGTTATTAGCTGATGACATATTGTTTATTAGTCAGCCAGCTGCAGCTCTCTTTTCCCCCTTTCTGAGCTATGTTTAATTTGCATAATGTCATATGGATGCTAATTTCTCAGGTTGACTTTTGAATTGCTAGTTCTCATTTCTGGTCAAAGTAATTGCGTTCTGTTACCATTTGTAGGTATTGCTCTCGATCTGTTCTTTGTTGACGGATCCTAACCCCGACGATCCATTGGTGCCTGAAATTGCACATATGTACAAGACCGACAGGAGTAAGTACGAAACAACTGCAAGAAGCTGGACCCAGAAGTATGCCATGGGCTAAGTGACCTGTGGTGTGTGCAATGGAGGACCCTTTTTCTTCTTCTTTTTTCTGTTTCTTTCCCCTGAAGTTCTATGTATCAATGTTTGTTCTCTCTTCAATGGAAATGGGCTAAACTGGCCCTTAACAACCCCCAAATTAAAGAAGAAACAAGTATGTTTCTTTCCATTTGTTGTATGGATTAATTTGACCCTCGATGAAATGTGTCTAATTCCGTATGTCCCCCCTTGTAACTTCTAAAATCTTAGTGGGTTCTCCTGTTTGTATGATTATTTCCTTTTTTTCATTTGTTTTTCCAAAGATAAAAAAGTGTGTTTTAATCGTTCTGTCCTCAGGTGCACACATCCGTCGCAGTGTGTCTTGAAGAGGATTTTCTTAAGGCTTATATCCAGGCAAGGTGGTTTTTTTTTTTTTCCCCACTTTGCTGCCCCGAGCTCAGGACTCCAAATCTAACAACTCTTAGCTGATCCTCCATGCTAATGGCTTATATCAAGAGGATTTTATTTATTTAGTAGTGGGATTGGGAGTAAATTATAAATTAGTCGCTCTAGTTTTGAGAAATTAATTAATGAGTTTCTTTTTTTGCTTTATAAACTAATTATTTAGTTTTTTTTTTTTTTGTTCATTTTATGTTCTTTTTCTAATTTGTTTTGGTTTTTATTTAAAAAGATAAAAAAAAATTAAATATATATTAGAGAAAACTGTAATTTGGTGTCTAATGGTTTTTTTTTTTTTTTTGGCTTCAATGTTCAATTAAAGCTTGAGCATTGAAATAAAAAATAAATAAATAAATTTACGGCACCACATAAAAATTGCATTTTTTTAATATGGATATTATGAAAAGATTGATGATGAGAAAATATTTATGTTTTAAAATAAAGTAATATTAAATTAAGCTGGATCTGTATTTGTTAAAGTTAAAGAATTAAAGAATTAATTTTTAAAACAAGGATTAATTTATTCGTTTTTCAAAACTTGAGCAATTAAATTATAATTTATTTGTGGGATTGGCGGTGCTAAAATTGGGGGTTTTGTGGATGTGGTGCCGTGGATGCGTGGAAGAACCAGTTCATGTTCCCTGCTCCTCTAATTTCTTCAGATATAATGAAACTTTCTGTTGTTGTTGGAGCCTTGAGCCCTGGAGCTTTCCTGGTGGACCAGAGGCCTGCAGTGGTGAACCACGGCCGAAATCAAGTGGTGTTGACACCAACCTCATGGGCCTGGAGAATTCGAAAGACAGGCTTTATAGTGTATTTGGGCTGGGTCTCAATTGGGCCTGTGTCATTATCTTGGTCTGGTCCAGGTCTTACTCCTCCCTGTGCGACGTGTAGTTGAGGTTGGTACTCTCCACTCCACTAAAGCTTCCTTCTTCTCTGCTAAAGTTCATGACGCTTAGTTTGGATTCGAAGCTAACAGAGGGTTACAAAGAATAAATTTTCTCATGCACGCATAGGTAACCAAAAGCTTGCCTGAGACATCTTAACTTTTTCAAAAAATATTTTCAAATTAATTTTTATATTAATCGAGATTAAATTTATCATTTTTTGAGTTAAATGAGTTAGATCGGCAGTGGATTATACTTAAAAAATTTTAAGAGTAAGAATCAAAATCAGATGAGTGGAAAACAACTTTTTTTATCAGTCAACCTGTAACATTCAATGATATCTAATATTTAATTGTAATTTCCAAAGGGAACTGGTATCGATAAATGTTTAAATGTTAGGTTGCATAAATATTCAAGAAAATGTTTAGCACAGGCACTAGGACTGTAATGTTTTTTTCTATCATATCCTAAAAAATAAATGTTCTTTCTCCCATGCCCATGTATAATATAATATGGTGGATGCCAAACAGTGCACAACTCTAAAAAATATGGTAATGGCTCTGGTCAAAGACAAACTTACCGACAGCATTAATGACATTTTGTTGGCTATCGAACCCTTTCTAAGGGCACTTGACCTCACATCCTAGTGACTCTCAGGCAACCCTTAGACCCCTACATGCTTTGTTAAATCCACGTACCAAACATTGGATTTGTTTGAATACAATGAGCCTCTCTCTTTTTTTTCCCCCTTGCTCTTAATAAAATTAACAATAAATTTTCTTCGAAAGCTATTTTAAGTCAAACGAATTTTTTAAAAAAATATATTGATTTTTTTAAAAATAAGTTGATTTTTTTTTCATTATTTTTCTAAACATTCTTTATATATATATATATTGGAACCTTTATTAGCGTGAGTTATGTATTATCCAATTCTAAGAGCACTCAGTGAAATTTTTCATGCTATTGTGAAATTTTGAACGTTAATTTTTAATTAAAAAATACATGTATAAATAAAAATTGACTATACAATTACGTATTATGGAACATCGCATCTTTTTAATTGCATAAATTTAGAAACTAAGAATTTTTAAAAATTATTTGACGTCAAATAATAGAAGAATAATATATAAAATTAAGAATGAGTAATTGATCACAAGATTTAATTTTTATTTTTTAAAATAAAATCCAATCAAACTTGATAAAAAAGAATTTTTTTATTTACTTTTAGAATAAACCTCAATATGATCTTGAGTAATCTGCATTAAATCCAAGTGAACTTAGATATATTTTCAGCTAATGCAGATATGATTTTCGAAGATTGTATTTACGATTCTTGTCCTTCCATTAATAATTAAATGACGTTGAAGGCCTAAGTTCAAGTTCTGGCTTGTAATTAAGATAGACCAACAAGTTGTTCTCAGTTCATTGTGCAAGCACATCAGCACCAAAGATTTTCATCTTTTTGAAAATCTTCGAAGTAAATAATGAATATATAGTAGTAGAACTCATGAGCTTTTGCTATGCCATGGAATCTCGTGTAAAAAAAAAAAACAAGGAAAAAAGAGCAATTATTATAAATAAATAAAAAACACATATATTCCGTACCCAAAAAAATAATTTAATACCATATCATCAGCTGCATAACCCATGTCAGCTAGAAGTTATGAGCAAGTCCAGAAAGTAAGAACTGAAAAACCATGCTTGGGAATTCAAAAACCAATATATAATAATTATTATACGTTCTTGTTCCCCATAAAAGACCAACCCCATATAAATTTAGGGTTTTTTTATATTTTTTGTAGCTAAATTTCGTAGAACATGGTGACCCATGTCGTTTATTATATGTTTCTATGCATTCTTCTACAATATCAATTATACGTACGTGCCAAATCTGTAGAGTTTACCTAAGTGAAAAATCTAAGTCCAAAGTCCAGCTCTAGCTAGCTAGGTTGAGAAGAATAAAATAATTCCTGCCTATTGGTCGTGCCCACGAGAGGGAGAGAGCATGGTCCCTGAAAATCTGGTTTAATTGAATAAAATTTTAACCAAATCTGAGTTTGAAGGGACCAAAAGAATAGAAAACAAAAGGAGCTAGGTATCTGAGTTTCCATGTACTTCAGGATTTTTCTCTAGTGAAGACAAGGCACAAGCTGAAATCACAATCTAACATCCCACTAAAAATGTTTTTTGGGTGTGGGAATATTTACGTGTCAGTTTATTAACTTAATTATACTTTTGGTTGTAAATAATCTTTAATTTGGATCCCAATTGGAGTTCTGGTGAGTGATCAATCAGTCACTAATTATTGTCTAAAGGTTTTCAGAATGTTCAGTGAACAGAACACTATGTCTTTTAATAAAATGCTAAATAGATTAAGACATGAATTATTTGAAGAACAAGAGAGGCTCAAAAGCTAGCCATGACATTTTCACATGGACCCAATTTCTTCATGTTGCATTAAAAATGAGATTAGGTGATGAGAAGAGAGTTGTTAATGAAAATGTGATCAGCCTAGCTAAAATGGAAGTGAGTATAAATGAGAAGGCAATACTATCCGATGTCAAAATTTTAATTAAATATCAATAAGTTATCGGTATAGTAATAAACGAGTTAGTCTTCAAGTAAATTTATTATAAATGTTTAAGATTCAAAATCTAGAATCGCACTTACTAAAATGGGTTAAATTTTGTTTTTTTTTTTTTTTGAATAGAATTAGTCATATTGTCAATATAAGACAAAGATACGGGGAGAAAATAAATTAATTGATTAATATTCTTGCACGTCTCACTAATTTAAGCAAACTCCATATTGTTTTTGAAACTGGGATTCACCTAAAACATTATTTGCCAAAAATGGAGTTCAAAACATCATTAAAAAAGGTGGACTTCTCGACCAAATCAACCATTCCCCATTTTTAAGGCTTTTTGGATATTTAAACTAATCATTATTACCAAACCCACATTTATTCCCTAATCTCTCAATTGGTGTAATTAAACTTAAAAAGAAGACCACGAAACATGATTTTTTTACATATATATATATAAAACAAGACAATGAACTATTAATAGGGTGGCTTTTGCGTAAATGAGTTATTATTTTGAGTAAATTATAAATTAATCCCACTCTTTTCAAGAAATGAATTAATTACTCCTCACGGTTCAAAATCTATTATTTAATCATTTTAACTAATATTGATCAAAATTAATTTAATATTTTTTATTTTATAAAATGTATCCTTTTTTCATCAATTTTTAATAATATTTATTTATTTTTTTCTATATTTTAAGTGAAAAATCAAAATAAATAAAAAATAGTAAAAAAATTAAATGATTGGGTTTTGAAATTAGGAGGACTAATTAATTTGTTTCTCGAAGGAGAGAGAATAATTTATAATTAACTCTTATTATTCTTTATAAAAAAAACCTTTAAAATCAAGAAGAAGGGGGAAAAAAGAAAAGAAAAAAGAAGAGAACATGCATGCACCTCTACCGATTACCAAATCCCTCAAATTTAGACCCAAATAATTGCATTCTACAAATCCCTCAAATTTAGAGGAGTCGCAACTCCCATCCAATTACCAAAAAGTGCAACTGTACGAACGTATGCAAGAAGAATGACTCACATAAATAATAAATCACTTTTAATTAATATCTATAAAGTAATTATTATAGTAATTGATAAAATAATATATCCTTTGACGCTTGACACTTCATAGTTTCCAAAACTTGAGCCACATCACCCCACATGGCAAGTACACGTGCCTCTCTTTGGTCTCCAAGAGAAGGCGTAAACGGCGCCGGTCACCGGTCGTTCAACGGGGTCAGTCGGTCCCACCGTTGTCGTCAATTCTCGAGGCAACCTCCACACACAACCTTATTAATACATATATTTACCAGAAGCTACACTAAATATCTATTTATTTCTCTCTACCCCATATATATATTACTAATAAAAATTTTGGACCGACCAGAGAAGAAATGAAAGGGTCAATATTTTCTATTTTAAAAAAAAAATTCAACACTGATAAATTGACTGCATAATCGATAAAATAATCTAGAAGAACAATATAATTATGTCAACACAAAAATTTCAGATATATTCGCAAGTGTAACTAACGAAAAAAATACTATTTTTTTATATATGTTTAAAAATAATAAAATATTTTTCGGATTATTCTGCATATCAATTAAAATTAAATTTATTATCTTTTAAACTAGATAATTAATCTATTTAAAATCTTATCAACAAAAGCTCTAATTTTTTGACACAAAAGTTGGCTAAACCATACCATAACCAGTTAGATAAATCTACAAGAGTGAATTCTTGCCAAAAAAAAAAAAAGCTAAACAAATACTTATATGGTAAAGAGGTGTATCGATCGGTCGATTAAATTAATTTTGTGCACTGAATTTTGTAAATGTTCTATACTTGATGAACGTGCATGTTGATAGTCAATCTTGTAAGAACAAGATGCTGCCACGATCTTATAAAGAAGTGGGGAGATTATATTTTTGATTTATTGTTTTGTTTTTTTTTTCCCTCCTCCTTCATGGTTACTCAAAACCAAGAAAGAATAGCACGTGACTTTCACTTTTGACTGTTTTTCGATTGGTATTGCTGGCTGGCCACGAATCATCAGAATTTGAAAGTGTTTGTGTAACAAAAGATTGTTAATTTAAAAGATCAGTCATGTCAAATGTCGTAGTTTTTTTTTTTTGGTCCAATTATATTTTTAATAATCCAGTGGTTTTAATCTTGTCTTGGTGACAATAATGACAGACTTGTGGGAAATTTTATGTCTTACCAATCATATTGCTTCTTAATTTGGTTTTGATGTAATTAATTAATCAATCAATTAGTTTTGCATTTTTATAATAAATATTTTGCGTTTTTCAAGTTAGATGAAATCATATAGTTTCTTGGGTTTTGTTGAGTTTAGTTGAATATTTTGTGTATATTTTACCCAGATGAAATCATTTTGCTTCTTTGATTTTGATAATCATTTTTCAAGTTAGAACTTTCATGCTGCATATAGAGTATAGTCATATAGGGTTGTTACCTTGTTGGATAGATAGCTCAGTCTTGTCCAATAAAATATATGCTCTCGTCCTCAATTTTTCTGTGAGCAATTTAATTTTTTGCTTTTAAAGTTTCTATTTACTCAAATTTTTAGAATAATGTCAATTAATATTGATGAAGATATTCTACATTCCATTTTTTCCTATTATAATCAATTACTTCCAAAAGTAAATTTTTTTATTCAATTAAGAGAGAAAAAATGTATTTTATATATATTTACTGTTTTTCAGTATTCTTCAAAAATTTAAAGAAATCAAGATATGTTTTTTTTTTTTGGGAATTACTAGAAAAATATAAAGTTCTAAGATTTATACAAATGACAAATTTGTGTCTTATTAGCTGCATAATTACAGTTTTAATATTTCAAGAAAAGTTTCAAATTGATTACCTTTTTATTGTATAAAAAAAAAAACGTAAAAGAAGGGTTTTTTTCCGTACGGAGCAACATGCATTTCTCAAGATTATTTTTTTCACCATATCTACACACACACACAATGCGTAGAGACAGGTTTGGTTCTTCCATTCTTTTTATTTGCACCTTTAAACTATAAAGGCTCAATCTTTTACCCATTTAGAAGAAGAAAGAAAGAAACTCTCCAGAAATTTGACTGAAAAATTGAATCATCTAGGCCTTTATCACCTAGCTAAAAGCAAGAGGCATGCATGTGCTTCTTTCATGCCAAAAATATCTAACTTTATTTTAATTAACCCTTTGACACATACATGCACGAATGATGTGGCCAGAACTTTGACCCTTTTACTAATTTTAAAATACCTATAAAAATGGAAATGATCATTAATTACTCAAAGTATATCTTCGCTTATAGAGTAATAAATAATAATAAAAGATTTCATGCTTAATCAAGGTGATATATGTTAATTAATTTTGGAGTTTCTTCAATTATTAGGTTGACAGAGATGGAAAGCATGCATAATTATGGCAAAAAGTGGTGAAGAGAAAAAGAGACCAACATTTCTTGCTTCAAATGGAAGCTTGCATGGTGAGATCGATGACGATGAATCGCTTCTCTTTGAAGATTGTTTTTCTTTTTTTCACTTTAGACATTAATATTTTAGACATGGATTCTGATGCCATTCCTTTTGAGAAGGAAAAAAATAATAATTTTTAGTAACATCAAATTTCGAGCTTAAATTGTTTGTACTAATAACCACAAACTTAAGACCGACATGGTAATAAAGCTTCAACGTCGTCTGTGGTGTGGGAGAAGTGGGAGGTGGCCCGTCTTTTTAGGATGGATCTTGTTTCTCGATTATTATTATTATTTTATATTAATTTTGGGTTTAATTACACAAACATGAGGATTAAGTGATGGTTTTTTGTTGTTCTCCTGCAATTCAAACTCGATCTGCTTTTGTTTTTGTTTTTGTTTCAAGAGAAGAAAAGTTGTTAAATTCGATTAATCCATTATTATTCCAACGTTAATTTCAAAAGACGTTATCCGATCGTTATTTACACACTATTTAGAGATGGATATATTTCTATCGCTATTTAATAGTTTTTTTTATAATGAATCATATAGTCTTTATTTTGATTTGTTTTAAATTTAAATTTTTTTAATTAAAAGTAAAATTTTGATTTTTGATTTTTAAAAGGAAAACGAGGATCATAGAGTCTATCTTTTATTTCCTATATATATATATATATATAAGAATTTTAAAATTTGATTTTTAAAAGGAGATAGAACGATCATAGATTCTATCTTTTATTTCCTACTATCTTTTACTTCTTTTTGAAAAATTAGTCTTTTATTTCCTTGCATAAGTGAAAGTTTTGCATCAAAAGGGGCAAAAACAAGACTCGAGCAAATTACAAACAAAAATAATCAAAAAGAAAAGTCAGAACACTTAAATGTGCATTTTTTTCTTACCACAATATCCATTAATTTTTGTAGTCCAGAAAGCATGACAGCACTCTCTCTTGAATCTTTTTCTTTTCTTTTCCTGTTCCATGTCAATTTACTTACACAGTTTCGTAGAAGCCTAGTAAAAAAAAAAAAAAAAAAAGGAGTATGAAAAGAAATAAAAAGACAGAGACGAACTTTAACGTCAAGAGGGAAAGATAAAGGGGAAATTTTCCATCAGGAAAGATAACAATGTGTCTTGTTGTTGACTTTTGTTTGCATTTTGTAGATGCATGAACTTTTATCGCATAGCTTGGAATTTAGTTGTAATGTGCTTGGTGTTAGCCACTTGGATGCCTACATAGATATTCATCCCGTGATAAATTTTGGCTTCAATTCCTGTCAATAGATAACTTCATTGCCTTTTCCTTATTCTACAAATCTATATAACATTTTGTTCATTCTCTCTTTAATGTGCCCTTTGAATAAAAATAGAAAAAAAAAATGCTTCTTTATATTAGATACAAAAGCATAGATTGATCTCAAGTCTTTTCAAACATGTCCAATAAAAAAAAATTACTAACTCTCTCTCTCTCTCTCTTTTATTTATTTTTTATTTTATGATATTTATAAATTATAGAATATCTGACAGTTTCTTTCCATCATTGTAAACGATTTGAATTAATTGCTTTAAATCACACCATAATTTAAATCAATTGATTTTTTTTGTCTCCTTTATAAGATTTCATTTTTTTTCTTAAAAATTAGAATAAACATATCCATCTATCCTTATGTAATACTCAAAACCTTTTATATGTTTATAGATTTTTAATTATATTCTATTTTCCTTTAAAAATATTTGAAATATATGTTTTTCTGATCAATTTTTTTAACCGATGGAAATGTCCCCGATTAAAATGCAAATAAATAAATAAAATTTTAGGAAACTTAAAAAATAAAATATATAGGGCATGTGACTTTAAATTTATTTTGTTTTATTTTATTTTTGCATTTTAGTGAAAATTATTTTGGTTTAAAAAATTATTTGGTCGAAAAAATTGATCATAATGATATATTGAATATTTCAATCACTTTTAAAAATAAATGAGATGTAATTAAAAATCTATAAATAAATAGAAGATTTTGAGTATTATACAAATACGGATAGATGTACTTACCCTAAAAATTGTAAAGACAGAGAGTTTAGAATGATGAACATTAATGGTATAAGGATTTGAAAAAAAAAACTTCTCAAAGATTTTTCTTTTCTCCCTTTATATATTCAAACTCATTCTCTATATCCTTTGCTCTCTTAGCTGCTCTACAAGAAAAGGGATAAAAGAAGGTTTTGGTGATCAACAATAGTGGATCCAGCTTGTGCATGCACTGTAGCTCCTTCTGTCCATAAAAACATGAGGAGTATGTGTAGCCGGTCACACTCGAATCAAGGGCTTCTAGGGGCCAGGAGCTGATTAACTTTTTCAAAATCAAGGGATGATTAGAGACTAATTACTAGAGTATCGAACACCAAGCAAGGATCTTGGACTTGATGCTCATTGACTTATATCCTTAGCTAGCTGTTTTGTTTTAACAAACCACCAAATATATATTACCAAAAACAATTTGATATATATATTTCCTTTTCCTTTACCCAATAACCAAAAAAAAAAAAAAAAAAAAGGGAAGATGAGTGATAGAGTTGATGTTTTTATGTGTTAGAGAATCCAAACAAACATATAAAAACTCCGCAGACCACTTGGTGATTTGTCGAATTTGGTGTACTTCCTTAGATGTCTTTTGTCTATGGTTCACTTGGCTCAATGGAGGGGGCCAATGTCCAAGAAATTGCTCAACTTTGATGTTTGTCTTTGCTGATCCATATAGTTATGGCTTTCTAAAACATGGGATCTTTAAACACCTATTATCTCCCCAAAACAAAAAACATACACACACTCTTCAAATATCCTCTTCACAATAATCAATTAGGCCTTGATTGTTGTTGTTTATCTATGTTAACCTTGATGATAAATGAACCGGCCGGGTTGCACCTACCGTTTCATTAATTTCAGATGCTAAATATCAGCGTCAAAAGATTTGAATGGCTGATTAAGTAACAATCATCTTCAAATATACTTTATTACTTAATTAACTTAAAAATTAATTACTATTAATTATTATCATCACTAAAAGCTTAGATAAATTTACTCACTATACCTCTAATTTGTTATAGTTGTAACCTAATAAGTTAACTTAAATTTTATGAGTGATCAAATTAAAGTACAAGCCTCTAACTTAATCATTTGATAATTAACTAAAAAAAATTAACACCGATAAATTGTTGATCTAACAGTAAATTAATTAGACGAATTTTATATTACCATGTCGGATTTGAAATTTAGAATCTTATTTATTGAAAAAGATTAAATATTATCGTTTTTTTTAAATAAAATTAGTTATTTTTTAAATATGGGATGGAGATATCCAAAAAAAAATTAATTACAACGTGTAGTTTGCAATTTGTTTTGGAGACGTGGGTTTGGCATAACCATAATAAATCCCTTTGATAGTACCGTTATAGGTGAGCTTATTAATTAAAAAGCTCACTTATTCAACAAAGCTATTCCCACTTGTGTACTAGCTAGCTAGTTGCGATAATCTTCAATTTCTTGTCCTTAATTCACCATTTATTGCAGAACACAGCCGTTAACACAAAGGAAGATTGACTATCAAACAACTTTGGATAAACTCTACAGCGTAACTATGCATTCACTTGCCAACTTGCCATTTTGTCCTTAATTTTGATAACCCACGTCATATTTTATATTATATGCTTATTAAAAGAAAGAAAAACATTTTTTGATTTAATTAGGTTCAAAATTTTGAATATTCTTGCACCACTTGATGATTATCAATCTCTTAAAAATGATCATTTTTGTGCTTTTCTTGGGACAGAAGTCCCTCGTGCTTACATGTTTTAGATTAACAAACAGTACGTACTTAATAATACAATCCACAAATATAGTTATAATCAAGTTAAAAAAAATAAAAAATAAAAATCCAATATGTTGTGTTCCGAAGAACAAAGAATTCATGTGACAACATATATAACAAGGACAGGACAACATCATCATCATCATGTGAAGTCATCACCTTCTTCCCATAATTAGTGCCATATAGTCTTCCAGATTATTCATGCAGGCGTGCTATAGGCGTGATGACATGTAGCTGTGCAATGCTTGCCTAAAAATGTTACCCTCTTGCATAAGAAACCCGAAAGGAGCTTATAATGATCCAAGCCAGATATATCTAAGCACAAGCAGGTGACGCATAAACCAAAAACAATTTCATCCAATTCGGCAATTCCTACGGTACGTTCAAATTGGGTAATACTGTTACCAACCTGTGATTGTGAGGGCTTAACAACCAATCATTTGGCCAACACGTACAACAAGAAGTTATTGCAGATGGACCTGTGAAAATAAGAGGGCCAAGTCGCCAGGTTTTTTTTTTAATAGCAATTGGGCAATTGTTCTTCAAAGATTGGGTTATAATTAAAATTAATGTAAGGTTGTAAACACGTGGCTGAAATTTTAAGGTATGGCAAGGAAGAAAATTGAAGCCTGAAATGACTTAAAAAGAAACAAAACCAGTCGGCGTTTTTGTTTGATGTAGTGTATTATAATTTCAAGTTGTACAACAAATTTGTGCCGGACTACGGCTATTATTTTTCTAATTATTCTTAAGAGTCAAAAGCATTTTTTTTTTCTGAAATCAATCCTGTCTTCGTTACTGTAGCCAAGAAAATATCGTAAATTTTATATTTTTTCTTTTGGTAATATAATCTGGGCTACTTCCTTAGTCATTGGAGCTTTTAAATGGAGATTCGAAATGGTGACAAACTGATGGAATTAACCGGACATATATATATTAGCATTGATGATCAGTTGCTAATGATCAGACAAACGAAAAGAACTAATTCGGTAAATGACATGATTATGAAAATTACAGCCTGGCAATCAAACAAAATGGAATTATTGAGTTTCATGAAAGAGGTTGTCTTCTGTATTTTTTTATTTTTATTTTTTGAAAAATTGGAATAATTAACATAAATACTAAATTTATTTAATTTTAAAATAGTAGTCCACAACCAGGCGTCAAATTTTCCCCAAATCAAACAAAATGGTTTTCAAAATTGTGATAGTGATGGTTGGTTTTGTATTTTCACCCCCCCCCCCCCCCAAGAAAAATTTTTTTGTTATTATTTCAAAAAATTTAAAAATAAAAAACAGAAATAATATCAAACAATCCCATAATTTTTCTATACATAAAAAAATTTCAAATATTTATTTATTTTTGCAAGCATGATTTATTTATTTTTGCAAGCATGAATATGACATTATATCAAAAAATTATATAAAACATTATGACAGTGTGGTGCAAGTTAAATAAAAATTATTGAGGGAAATGTAAGATATTTAAATCAGAGCTTTTTAATACGTAGAGGATTAATTATGATGGCCGATGAGACTTACAAATACCTTATTGCTTGAAACATATATTAAAAAAATATCTGAAGTAAAAACTAATTATTTAATTAATCAAAAGTAACATCCAATTTCTTTTTAGGCACAACATTCCAACATTATTATTTTTTTAATGTAAAAAATAATACTAGTTAATCACAATTTTAGTTTTCCAAGTTGTCTATTTTTTCTTATCAAATGTGTTCACTTTAATTTTTGTTATTTGAGTAATCTAAATTGAAATTTGTTTTTTCTAATTAAGTGTCTTCATTAAGTTTCTATCAATTTTTTCTATTATTTACACAAGTGACCCATTAATGGGACCTTTTTTTTCACGTGGCAGTGGCGTGGCAGCCACGTGTCTCCTAGAAAATTAAAAAACAAAAAACAAAAAATGGGTGTTTCCCGTTATATGCATTAGTCTCGGTCTTCTTTTTCTCTTTTCTCCTCTCTAAAGATGAAACTGGTTGCTTCCCTCTTTCTTTTACTCAGATGAGTATGTCGGTGGTATGGGTCTAGTTTAGAAGTGGAGATCAACCAGCGTTGGGAGTAGGTTGCGTTTGAAGAGTAGTTGACGACGACTGAAAAAAGGAGAGGAAGGGTGTTTTGACGGACATATAGGCGTGGGAATGGACTTTAGAGGTGATTGATGGCGTTTGGGAGTGGCTGGCGTTAACTACAACGGGTGGGATTTTGAGGCTCAGCTTCATTCGATGGAGGAATGACAATGGGTTTCAATGAGACTGGTGGTGGCTAACGTTGCAAGTGGCTTGCAGGTAAGAGAGAGGGAAAATAAGTATTCGAGCTAGCATGTTTGAATTGGCTAGTGGAAGAGATGAGGCAGCTTAGGGCGAGTTTTGATAGAAATGGCAATTAGAGAGGTTGGTGGTGGCTTGTAGTTTGGAGCTATTGTGGTCGGCTCGGGAGTGGGTGGCAGTGGTGGTTGATGAAGGATTATGCATCCTATGTAGATGTAGAATAAATAAAAATTTTGTTTCTCTCAATCAAAAGTTCCTAAGATCTATCGTTGAATCAACTAACTATATTAATATAACAAGATGTTTAATGATTACCTCTTATAGCCTAGAATTCAAATTTTGCAAAAGGAATCTTCAAAATGTTCGGTTTCTATTAATAATCAACATAGCTCAAACACTCACACAAGAAGCAACAGAAATCGAGATGTGCTAGCTCCAACCTTTTTTGTAAAGTAAATTTTTCTCTTAAGAAATCATTAGGGTTTTGGCGCCTAATTTTAAAGAAAGTGGCAACAACTCTTTGCCTTTTTCTTAATTGGGAGAGACGCATACCCTTCTATTTTTTATCCGTTAGGTTGCCATCTCTCTCTCCCTTCTTTATCTATAGAGACAGCAACAACTCCTTCTTAGGAAAGAAGTTATTGCTTATGTGGGTAATTTTCTTCCAATTAAGTCATTCTTTATATGCAAAAAGAGTTATCATGTTGCAATTCAATGAATGTCTACTCAAGAAAGAGGAAACAATTTTTATTTTTTGTAAGTTTCTCCATTAACCAACCATTTGTTCCCCAAATGACAATTATAATTGGATCTTCTATGTCTTATATTTTTCTAAATTCAATCTTAATTGGACCTTATATATATTTGGATTAAATGATATAATTTTAAATTTATCTAAATATGTTTGTAAAAGGGTTTAAGATTTTTAAAAAGTAATTTTTAATTAATATAGAGTACTAAAAATTATTATTGATAAATAAATAAAAAATACCACGAGATTGATATGAAAAATATTTATTAGAAATTATTATACTAATTTTGCAATCTCGAGACAATAAATTTTTTTAAAAAAACTTTATTTGTGGTACCTAAACTTTAATTTTTTTTTCTGTTTCAATGCCTAATATATATATTTTTTTATTTGAGTGCCCATAATTACCTAAGAATATGAGGTACTGATATGATAGAGTTAACTGTTACATGATCCTTTTTAATTGCCACATGACATATCTCATCAGACACGTTAGTAAAATTGGACTTCAGCTGAATGCCGACATCGTAACAAACAAAAAGTCAAAGTTAAGGTAGCAAATCTGGAGACATATAATTGTCACATGTGGCAATCAAAAGGTTGAGCATTAAAAACCTTTCTCTTCGTGTTTTTTTTTTTAATTTTCCATACCATTTACATGTGGCAATCACATGTGAGACATATAGTTGTCACATCATTACAACTTGAAACACATATTTCATTAACGGACCACATGTGCAAATTAATAGCAAAAAAATTGACCGAAACTTAACAAAAATAATTTGATCAGAAAAAAATTACTCAACTAATAGAGATTAAAAAAGTAAATTTAATTAGAAACAATTGATAACTTGATAAATTAAAATTGTAATTAACTCGAAATAATACTTTATATATCCTATTGCATTTTACATCTCTAATTATTCGTCCTCTATCGTCTTTTTGTTGTGTCAGCATTATCATGCTAAGAAGTTTGAATATCTTATAAAAAACTTTAATGCATTTGCATGCCAAATTTTTATTAGTTTTTCTTAATTTTGGAGAATTTTGACGCTATTTGGTCTTATTCCCCCCAAAAAAAAGGAACCACAAATTGCGCCAATAACAAAGCAAAAGAAACTTCGTTTCTAATGTGTGCTAAGTACTGTTGTGAAACGCACATTGATTTTATTCAAATCTGAACTTTGGAAGTCACCCTTTCATGCTGTGCATGATGATCAAGAGCACAAAGGTTGACCTTCGTGCTACTCGAATCAGGCAGACAACTTTTTAGACCCTGCTAAAACATTAAAGAAATCAGTTTACACTTCCTGTCTCGAATTGAAGCTAAGTTTTTTTTTTTTTTTTTTTGAGTCAATTGTAAAAATATATTTTTTATATCGGTTTGGTATATTCATATTTTTAAAAAATATAATATAAAAAATGTGATGAAAATAATTGTAAAATAGTAAAATAGCTGAAAAGAAAAAACTTGGCAGTAAAAAAAATAAATGAAAACCAGATTGAAATTTATTATTTTGTTTTAAAAAGGACAAGAAACACCTAATAGTTGCAAAATAGATTAGTGAAAAAAAAACTTGGCAGTAAAAAATTATTTATTGAAATGCCATCTAAATGAAAACCAGATTTTTCAACAAATTAGTAAAATTTGTATAGAGCCAGCTCATTGGTCAAGTGGATCGTAAATTTGGAAAATATTTCGGTTTCATTTTTTTTAAATATAATTTGTTGTCAAAAGATCAAGACACAATTTTACCCCTTCGTTATTTTCACTTAAAATTTTTTATTACATGGAAAATAGTTGATTTGAAATAGAGGGAAATTTAAAAAATATATATATTTACACATAATCATATTCAAAATGATGTGGCAATGGATGTGAATAGCTTATAATTACTAGAAAAACCTTATAAAAAAATCTTCTATCTAAAAAATTCATAATTTTTTTTTAAATCTCTCAAATCCAAAATAATATTTTTCTTACTAAAAACACATAATAATTAACACTCGGTGTTAACTATTGGTTGTTTTGACAAGAAAAATATTATTTTAAACTTGTGATATTTAAAAATATTATTTTATGTTTAGGAGATTTAAAAATAAAATATCAAATTTTTTATATTGAAGATTTTTTTAAAAAGTATTTTGGTAATTATCCCTAGTTTAAATGAAACTATTATCTTTTAAGATATGTATTTCTATCACGGATTATCATGTTTTATTTAATTAATGCACTAAAATATGTTATACATTCATCTTGTAACTTAATTTAATTGTTTGATAAAAAATGTTAAGTTTTAATTAATTAAAAACTAGTATTACCGATGATGCTTTTTTTTTCTATCGATATATTATAATTTAAGAAATCACTAATGTTCATAACCATACATACTTTATTTTTTTATTTGTATGATAACCCTTTGATTAAATTACAAGAGAATGACAAGAGTCTCATTTCATCAACATTAATTAGTTAAATTACCTCGGTTGTTATAGTTACTAGATAGTAAAATTAATCTCGTAATTAATGAAACAAACGGTCGATAAAAAAAAAAACTCTAATATAAGGAATTTTTTAGTATAATAAAAAAAAATAGTCGAATGTTGTTTAAAAGTCAAGGAACATCAAAAACTATTTTTTTCTTTCGAATGCAATAAAAAAAAATGACTTGATCATGAAAAATAATAATAATAAATATTAAACTCAGTAAAAACTATGAAATGATTTTATTATTAGATAAAAACTATATATAAAAAAATTCTATCTAAAACATTTATCAATTTATTTTTTAAATCTCTTAAATCTAAAAATAAATAAATAAATAAATAAAAATTCTTACCAAAAGACCCAACAATAATCGGTGTTAAGTTAGAGGTTATCTATTGGGTGTTTTGGTAAGAAAAATATTATTTTGGACTTGAGAGATTTAAGAATAAATTGATGGGTTTCTTGAATATAAGATTTTTTTAGAGGGTTTTTTGGTAATTATCCCTTGTTTTTTTTTTAAATCAAATTAAAAAGATTTTTTGTCATAGCAAAATGCAAGTTAGGTAATGTTATTGATTACTTCTGTTTTTGTTTTGATAATGACGATTTTTTATTGATTATTTTCTACCAATTGAACGCAAAAAAAAAAAAATCCAAATGTAGATTATGATTATTTTCTTTCTGTTTTTGGTAGACAAGACATATATATATATATATATATACACACACACTACTAAAAATTAGCAACATTAATTTGGAAATTATAATTTATATTTGATGTCCCAACTCATTCATGCATAGACATTTATTTATATCACAATATATGTAGAAAAAGAATTTATAAATATATTCACCAATTATTTATCAACATTTGGAAATCGTCTTCCAACTTAGCTGTTCAAGGGATAGGTTTTTTCCAATTTCACCATTCAATGGATATATTCTTCAATTTTTTATCATCATCTTATTTTCTTTTGCCGCAAGTAATTACCATATAAGATATAAACAAAATAGATGTTAATTGATATTATCTGTTCTTGAATCCGCGTGGTCATCACGTACCATAAGAGAAAGTGAAACAAGCATATCTCGGTTGTGCAAACAGGAAGAAGAGAAAAAAGCCCAGAGACGTACAAAACAGAATTTATAAAGGCGGCGAATTCTAGGTTGCCTGCCACGTTATTTCTGGCTGTAAAAAAGTAAATTTTATAAAAATCTCAATAAAAAATAATTCATCTTGAAACTTTTTAAAGGGTAGAAAATTATTAACCCTCCCCAGGAGAGCCAGCACAACATGAAGTGTTTTGCACCATCCTCACTCACCCAACCGTAATTTACCAAACCACCCTCACTTATTCTCATTATTAACACCACCACTATTTGTGGTAACGAAATTCTTTAAATTTTTTTTTTTACCAATTATAATTGATTAAATTAATAAACATTGTTTGAGACAAGCTGACATCAAATCACATTCTCACTTAAAAAATAAATGAAATCACGTTCATACTTAAAATAGAAATAAAGGAAAAAAAATCCTATTATAAAGTTAAAAGTTAATGTATATCTAGTGTTACACAAGCACGAATGAAATGACATTTATATATTTTTTATTTTTTAATAATAAAATTGTTTTTGTCTCGAATATAATTATTTTTATTTTAAATATAAGATGAAAATATTTGAAAAAAATTAAAAAAAATAAATTCGAAGAAAGGAAGAATAAAATTTTATCGATAAAAAAAAACATAAAATCTTTGGTGTTACACAAGCAAGAAAGATTATATGATGTAATTAGAAGTGTAATTAAGGGAACAAAACGTCAATTACACAACAATTTCTTTTTAAATAGTCAAAGAAGTGAGGTATGTTTTCTAATTATGTAATGTAAATTTGACCAAAAACCAAAATTAAATGGACCCGGGTATCTTGGGCCTCACGTGACTGGCGTCACACTAACCGAGGCAAGACTCACACTACCTGAGTCAGCACCTAATCAACGTCTCTAATTGGGCCTAAAACGAGTTGGGCCCAGAATGCCACGTGGCAAAATCACATAGAGTCATGGGGATGCGGCGGTTCGTTTTACTGGAATCTTATGGTGTCTCCCCACCGGTACTGGTATGACCTGCCCCTAACTTATCACTGCCCTGATTAAAAAAGGAAAAAAAATCAGAAAAGGAATTTAAAAAGAAAATAGGAAATTAAAATGTGAAATTGAGATATTTTATATTGGGAAATTTCGAATTTCGGCTGTTGGGATCCTATAAAACAGCGATCTCAGTGTTTGAGTCACCACTCCAGCTAAAACTCTGCTTCTCTCTAGTCTTTTACTATAACTCAATTCCCACTCTCTCTCTCTCTTTAAGGACTTCTCTGGTTTACACACGCCAAGAAAGAAATCAAGAACCTCACCATTGTTTTTCTGGCTTGCCCTTCTCGTCAAGATTTAGTTTTTCTTTTGATTCTTGCCATTCTAGGGGTTTGTGTCTGTCTCTTTAATATAGAAAGTAGACAAGGCAGATTGAAGATTTTACAACCAGCAGTAAATCAAAATCTTTCATTGATTTTCCTTTCTTGGGTTTTCTTCTTTTGAAAGTTGTGTTGTTTCCTGTTTTAGTTGTTACCTATTTTACTAAACCTCTATTGATTATTAAAGGGTCTCTCTCCTCTTCCTTTTTCTACAGTTTATTTGGGGTTTTAGGCCCTCTCTTGAAAAGTCTTGAAACGGTTTGCGTTCTTGTGTGTTTTGACAGATTTCTGAGTCATCTTGTCTTTCGTTAGTCTCTTCACAAGTATCAATCTTCTCCATCACAGTTCCTCACCTTTTTCTCTTTATTTGTTCTGTTTTTCACTCTCTATCTATGCAACTAGGGAGGTTTTGGAGAAGTTAATTAGAAGAGATTAAAAAAAAAATCCCAGAAAAGATGATAGACCAAAGTATCCTATGTCCCATAAAATACACTGAGCACAAAAAAGTTACAAAAAAATTCAAAAAACCATCTATAAAGCCTAGAAAGCTACCCTCCGATGACCGGTGCCGCTTACCAGAATCCTCAAACCCACAAACAAGACTTATTAGGGTGATAGTCACCGATCACGATGCCACAGACTCCTCTAGTGATGAGGAGGGAGAGTTATTTGGACGGCAAAGGGTGAAAAGATACGTGAGCGAGATCAACATCCAACCTGCAGCCAGCTGCAAAGAAGCTAATGTCATTGCTGCTACTATTTCCAATAACCGGAAAAGAAGTGTTGGTGATATCCCTCAAAGGCCAGCGAAAAAGTCTACTCCTCCGTCAACCAACAATGGCAGAAAGTTCCGAGGCGTTAGGCAAAGACCTTGGGGTAAATGGGCTGCGGAGATTAGAGATCCTGTTGTACGTCGGCGGATATGGTTAGGGACGTACGACACCGCTGAGGAGGCTGCAAGAGTGTACGATAATGCAGCCATCAAGATACGAGGGCCGGATGCTTTAACAAATTTCATCACGCCGCCTAGTATCGAGGAGGAGCAAGAGAAAAGTACAGTGGAAGAACCAGAAGGAGAAGAAGAAAAGAAGCCGGAAATCAATGTCGACACAGCTTCAGTCTCCGGCTATGAATCTGCTGATGAGTCTCACAGTCTGTCGTCTCCAAAATCTGTGCTCACATTCAGATTACCTTCATCTGAATCACACAAACCACCGGTTCAACCCTTCCAAAAAGACGTTAAAATGGAGCCAATTGATCAAGACAATCAAGAAGCGTTCGGCGAGAGCAATTCGACTGATTATTTACCGCTAGACGCTCCGTTTCTTGATGATTTTTTCAACTTTGGAACCTCAGGGCCAACCCTCTTCGACGATCAAGTTATAGCGACAACTACGACGACAACGACATCAGTTTTTGACGAGAGCTTTATGTCCAATCAAGATTTTGGTGACATATTTCTCGACCCACTTCAAGATTTTAGTTCCTTACCTTCGGTTTGCCAAGAGGATGACGATTTTTTTCATTTCTTCAATTCGGAACCTCTTGCAGCACTTTGATACTGTCGCTGCCGTTTGTTTACCTGCCATTTCAGGGCAAATTTTGTACCGGTGGTAACCGATGAGAGTTTTGCCTTAGTATTATATTTATTTGTTTAAGTATCTCCGTTAAAATTTAACGGAGGACTGAGTTAAAGTCTGGTTAAGCATGTAAAATTTGAGTTAGTAATGGAAAGCTATAACTTATTTTCTCAATTTATTTATTTATTTTTAATTTATTTTTGCAATTTCTTTTATGTGACCATTAAATCTGATAATGCCAAAGTGTCATTCTTTTTGCCACAAACGAGCTGGCGCAATTTACGCTTCTGGCCGGTCGACCAAGTCAAGACGGTGCCACCACTCGTGTGTGAAATCGAGATAATTAGCTTTAATACTTTGATTTTTTTCTTCTCTCTCTGTTTATGTTTATGCGCACGAGCAGATAATACATCCTTCTAATCTTTGATTAGCAAATGGGTTTTGCATAAGCTTGGCGTATATGGCTAATTAGAGGAAAGTGGGATGTGCAAAATGTGGACCATGGAGTGCCACCTTTGTTTGCTATTGAAGGCTTGTTTAAAAGGCAGGTTAATAATTGAGTTGGATTGGTACAGGGTTGTCGAGGGGGATTAAGTTAGGTGATACGCCAATTTGCTATTAGTATCGAGATAAACGAGTTGATTAATAGAAGAATTTTTTGTCAAATCCTAAAAGGAATAAACGTTATCATTCCGATTTCAAATAGAATTAGTCCTATCTATTTGCTAAATTAAAAATTTTCTCCATTTTTTTATTTTTTTATTTTTATTTCACGTTTAGAAAAAAAGTTAACGAAATTTGATTTCTAATCAACAAAAATTAACAGATTATTTTTGAAAAAGTAAGTTTCAAGCTAAAAAAGAAAAAAATATTTTTCTGAAAAATAACTTCTTCAGAATTGTTTTTGTTATTGAAGTTTATTTTCAGTCAAACAAATGGAGTCTAAATCTATATTAACAAAGAAAATTTGAATTTTAAAGTTTTATGAAAAGTTTTATCCTTTTTTCTTTTACTTTTTGGAATCTAGAGAGGAAATCAAAGGAATTTCTAGGAACTTACTAACATTAATGATATACAAAAGCACTTTCAAATGGTCTATTTTATGCTAAAAGAAGAAGCTAATGGCAAATGGGATTGTCACCAATTTTTAGATGGTGAGGAGAGAAATCAAAATCAAGAGTGGCATGACATCACTAGACTAATAAATCATTGGGTCTCATTAATTTAATTCAACATTACATACGTGTCTTTCTTTTGTTTCCAACTAAATTTGACTAAGGACTGTATAAGGTCTTATTCTAACTTTAAGAACGAGAAAAAGGGGAAAAAACCTCAATAGTTTTCCATTCATTCCTTGTTTGGAAAAATGAAAAGTCACCAAGATAATTGATTTGTATTTAATAAGAAGATTCGGCAAGAATATTGTGTGTTAGTGGACCTCTTGCTTTGATTGCTAAGTAGTTGACATGGGATGAGACTATTCAAGCAAAGCTAATCCGTAATGATCAAATGATGCGTATCCATCTCTTGCTATGTCTATCCTTTGTTTCTTATTTTGGTTGGCAAAGTATTTGTTTTGGGTTCGAATCTAACACAAGACTTCACTTATGTAAAACTTGTAAACAAGCGTTTCACTCCTTACTCTCCAAATACTAGCTACCATATCTGAAGTTTTTGCCTAGAACATGTGGTTCCAACCTTTCAAACTTGCCTAGCTAGACCACTTGACAGCAATTTTTGTGAAGATCAATCAAGATTATATATAGATACAATGTCATTGTCAACTGGTTATTGGGAAGTATCCGTGTGAAGTAAGAAGCAAGCAAAACCTGTAACACAACTCTTTGCTTCACTGTTGACCAAATTAAGGAACATTGCTAAGGAATCTATTGTTAGTGCTCAAAATTATGTCTGAATCCGTATGTATCATGAACATGACTAGCCTCCAACGAGCCTTGCACACGTTTAACATAGGCTAAGGACAGTTTTTTCCACAATTGTTTGAATAAATGATAGGTCATAAAAATTATAAGCCTGGGTCACAACTGGACTTTCAGATTTCGTTGTTGACAAGGTGATATATCAACTAAATTTATGCATGAGATGCAATGAACTCAATGATGCCTCTAAATAGACAGGAAACAATCATAGAATGCAAAATGGATAGCCAGCTCTTTAAAGTTCAAAGGAGTTTAGAGGGGAAAGGAAATCATTCATACTTTTGTGGTGTCAAAAAGACAAGAAACATGGGAAAGAAAACTCCAATTAGCACTGTTTAAGGGTTAGAATTAGACTTATTAAATAAATAAAAACATAAACTTTATATATATTTTTTTTAATTAATCATATTAGCAAGTTTTTTTTTTTTTTTAATATTATACAAAAAAACACACAAACTAAATTTCTATGAGAAATTTTATAATACACCAAGAATAACTAGTGGCATGTACAATAGTTACTTCATGAGCTAAGTTTGAAGAGAGAGATTAAAAAAAAAATTACATTCATACCCATAAAAAGTGATAAGAAGATTTCCACGTCCGTTTAATTTTTTTTATTTTCTCTCTCTTGTTTCTCTCTCTCTTTGTTTTTTTTTATTTTTTATTTTTATCTATTTCTCTCTTTAAAGTGAGTCCATGAAGTAACTACTGCACATGCCACTAGTTACTCTCGGTATAATATAAAATTTCTCAATTTCTATTAACTATATTACCATGCATAAATATTTTCAATTAAAATTATGTTTTAATTGAAAGCATTTACATGTTAATATAGTTAATAGAAGTATAGTTTGTGTATTTTTCATCCAATATTGAAAGAAAATATTAATATGATTAAAAAATATAGAGTTTATGTTTTTTTTAATAAACCTTATAATTAATGTCTCTTAAGTTTTTTTTGTTTTTTTGCCCTTCCTTTCCTCTTTAGAAATGAAAAACAATCTGTAAGTTATTGGAAAAGATTTTCAAGACAACAAGAATTGAGACACTTATTTCTTATATATATAGCTTCTTAGTCTTTCGAATTAGATCATTCATAATGGGTTCCTTCCGGTCATTGTCAATATAGCAATTTGGGCTGTTTTTGTATAATCCCAGTTGACAAATCTGTAAAGAAATGCGTACAGAAAGCCTCTTTTGAGCTGGTCAATTTACCTTTCCAGGTCCTCCTCCTTACTCTCAGGATAATATGATCTGAACACGCGCTGTAAAAGCCAACAGATAAAGCAATACATGGGCTGTATCTACATTGACATCAAGGATTAAGGTTTGCTCAATAGTCACTGCTCAGGGGTCCTTTGGTGGTGCTTGCCGGTTGGTAAAAAAATTGGATCAAATAAAGGTTTTGGTTTGGTTATAAGTGTGACCCATGTCACATGTATGCATGTACTGTGTTAGATTTGTTCCTCGTGAAAAAAATGAGCCTCATTCTCGTTCTTCTTCAATAATTCGCAGCCTCAAAATCAAGTTTGAACCACTAGAGGGATTTAGAGTTAGGCTAAGATGGGACTATTTTATGTAGTTCCACATCGTTCTTTGCACATTTAGGATGGAGGTTTTGCACATTTTTTAAGCATAATGAAAGAACGAAAAGTTCTGAAAAAAAAATCTAGTTAGAATCAAAGGGTTGAGGGCATACAGGTGCTTTTTGAACGGGAAAGCTCTAATTGCTTTAAAAATTCCAAGATTTCAAGCGCATGGCCCGTGCTTCCCTTCTTTAGCGTTTTGAATGTTGGAAATGTGGCTCAAAATTGTCCAACTTATCTCTCTTTTCTTACCATCACGAAAGGACTCTGCAAATGCCAAGCAAAAGAAGATCAGGATGCAGAGGCAGGTTACTGTTTTTGTCTTAGAGGTAGTAGTTTGTTGGTACAGTAAAAGATCATTTATTTTCAAGAAGTGAATAAAATCGACAGTCAAAAAAGCAGAAGAAAATTCAAAAATAACGGCGCAACGTCAAGGAAAAAAGCGATCTTCTGAGTAACTAAAATCCTGGCTGCAGATTTGTCCAGCAATGGACTGCAATCTTAATGAAAGGCATGTAATGTTGTTTTCATGCCAGCAGATCAAATAAATATGAAGAACATGCACAGCCCTTATAGTTTTTGCATTTCAAGTTTCTTGTTGGTCAAAAAATGGACGATGCACAGATTTTACTGCATTTGGGCTTAGACTGTCCTGGTGACCACTGACCCCTTTAGATTTTACCTAATGATGAACAAAGAGGAAGACATCTAAGATAATACAATTGCTTTATTTTTACCCATTTGATGCAATTGTTGGAAAAGATGCTGCAGTTCCCATGTTAAAGCATTGGCTGGTCAGTACTAATGAGGCACAGGAATTTATTAACTTGTTGGAAGCACAGTAAAATGAAACCACTCTGTGCTCGGTAGAAGAAAAGTCATCAAGCGTGTGGCTACGCAAGGAGGTCTCTACAGACTGGCAAGCTTACAGTGGTATTGCCTGAGCAAGACAAAAGGGCCATAAAATCATCACAATATGATTGCCGAAGAGATCTTTATAAGTTAAATATTATTATCTTTTTTATGGTTAAACCTTGACATGCTTTATCTGTCTCCAGATTCATGATGCTTCTCCTCTTCACGTGAGATCATATTTAATCTTTCATTTGCCTTTTACCGTACTTTTTTTTTGTTTTTTCCCTCTTGTATCTCTATTCTATATTAAAAATAAAACTAATTTTATTAAAAAAAAAAACAGCATAAGTTTTATTTTATTTTTAATAAATACAATTTTAAAATTTGAATTCTCAATATTGATCCAACCAATTCATTTACTGCTGGTCAACAGCTTGTGGGCTTTTGTTTGTTTTGCCACACAGTTTCTGTACATGTCAAAGTGTTATTCTGTATGCAAGCTGGGGTAATAATTAATAAAAACTCTTTGCAAGAATTGACCAATTAGAAATTCTAAAAAATAAATCAAAAGTTATTTAAAAAAAAAATCAGATTAATCTATGGCAGCATTGGAGATTAGTTTGAATTTTTGATTGTGGGATACCCTAAGAATAAAAAAAAAAAAAAACTCAGATTAATTTATAGCATTTTAAAAACAATTAATTTATGTGGCGTAATGCAAGTTGGTGTAACAATAAAAGCTCTTCACAAGAATTGACCAAATGGAAATTCTAGAAAATAAATCAAAATGTGTTTCTTTTTAAAATGAAAAACATACACATATTAATTTAATCTAGTGTGTTTCATTTGATAGTTCAGGATTTGCTTGAATTGTTTCAGTTAGGTAGAAAACTCACATATATCTACTTTACGGTTTCTTTATACTTTCAAACATTATTTCGATATTTATCATATATAGAGCACATTTATATAAAGAGTTATTTATATACACAAAGACTTGAATTTAAGACTACTTATCTAAATAACTAAAGTTCTTTCTATTCAAGTCAATCCTCTTTAGTACGTTGAGAGATTCTTTGACAATAACAATAAATTTAATTACTTCCTCGAATCCAGATCGATACAAATACAATATTTATGTATGATGTATAATATTTTTCCCCTATTAATTGAAATTACTATGACTTGGGTAAAAACAAATTCACTTTTGGCACACATCTGAGTTACACGAACCAAAATATTTCAATTATTTTTCTATGACGTGAAAGTGAAGTCATTAGTTAAAGATAAAATTATGGTAGCAATCACATTCTTGTCGAATTAATGCAGTACTCTTCTTTAGTATAGATTGGATATTTAAGGTACTTGCATTATTTATTTATTTATTTTGCCATCACCTTGCTCAGAGCAATAATGTTTACAAGATCCTAGGTTCTTCACCCTACATGCACTGCTAATAAAACTTCCAACTAATGTTATAAATGCCAGACATTGATGAGCAGCCTGATGGTACAAAAGTGTGGTTGAAGAAGGTTGCTAGACCCTCAACCATCCTTCCTAAATGAATCTAGTAATTAATCTTCTTCTTGTTTCGTTTTACTCCTCCTATCCCAAAAGAATTGTTTCATGTTATTTTTTACGTAAATTAAAAAAAATATATATTAATTATTATACAATATCGACATATATTGTGTTCATATTTTCAAAAATACCTTTTATTTAGATATTTTTTTACAAAATAAATTTTAAATAAAAATATTTTAAAAAAAGCATGTCATTTATCGTTTTGACCATATAAATATTTTGGGACAAATATAAATAAAAGGGTGAACGATTTTTTCAGTTGCGGGAGTAACATAGATCGGCTATTTTTGGTATCTGCTATCATTTATTAAGCAATATTAATGTTTCAGAAATTAATCAACTGTTGTCGTTTAATCAAATCCTGGTAAGCAAGTAGATAGAGATAAGGTTTTTGCTATAAACAGGCCAGTCCCATTTTGTCATTTCACAAAACATATAATATCTTTTTTAAAATCAGGAAAAGATTCAAGAAAAGCCAAAAACTATAATAATTTTTGGCTTTTGCTTAAAAAAAAACAGGAAAAATACAAGCATATACACTGAATATAATAGAAACCTGTAATAAAACTCTAAATTCTCTCAGAATGGATCGTGGGCTCTGTAGACGACACTGTTCACTGTAGAGCATTAATGTTGGAGAAGACCTGAGGGCACACACTTCCTTAACCTCCCACCCCTCTATTTTTCCTCTCCTGTCACCTTATCATCAGACTTCCGATCATAAGATTTTACTGCTTCCTTGCAAAGAATTTTGATGACCTAATCCCATTTTATGATTTCAGGTTACAGCAAACTCATCACAAATTTACCAACTTCTAAAGCATGAGTATGCTAGAAAATTTTAAGAATAGTTTTAAAAAAAAATTATGTCCAAGAAAATGGTTTATAAGTCATTTTCTAATACACTATATATATAGGTGTAAAAAAAAAAACATGATAGGAAAAGTAAGGTCAACAATAGTCAAGAAAAAGGGAAAAAAAATTATAGAGAAGCGTCTATTAGGGGTGTTTATATATATATATATATATATATTAAATTCAATTATAATTTAATCATTGAAATTATAGGAAATTAATAAGTGAATCTCTATAGTTTAAAATTTTCTAACTTAATCCTTTAACTGTTAACTATCACCAAAATTGGTAGTTTTTATGTACCAGACAAACCGGTAACTCAAAATCTTATTAACGGATGACGAATGACTCGTAAAATGATTAAGTTACAAATGGATATGAAAATATAGAAAGTTCTGTGAAGGTTTTTTCAACTAAACTACTAGAGAGACTTAAGTTATTAATTCTTGAAACTATAAGGAGTAAGTTATAATTTGGTTCTGTCTATATCTATTTTTAGTGGGATGGCCATGAAGAAGCTTGATAGTGCCACAAGTTAGCCCCACTTGCTAGTTCAATGGATGAACCCTAGATTGTTGGGTAACCATAAGAGGGGCCACAAAAAGATAGCAGGAACCTAGGTAGAAGAGGGGTTAAGAGGTAGGAGTTGCAGGCTTTAAGATAATTCAGAAGTGAGCTCACGATCAGAGCCAACTTGCATGTATATAGGCTCTGCAATATGTTGCAAAGCATAATTAAATGAACAGTGACAACACCTGAGCCTCTTGTTTTTCACTTGTTCTTTTTTTTGGCACTCCTTTTTTCTCAACTTTGTATTTCTCCAAAGCTCTTTTTTCTTATTTTTCCTTTTTTTGGTCCCCCTCTTGAGAACATCACTATCGCCTGATACTCTCTTTTTACATGCATTTCCCGATGTTTTTTTCTCCCTCTTTTAATCAAACGTAGTTTTGGTAAGTATTTATCCGCTTTTTTTTTCTTAATGATTTTCTCTATCAATATAAATGTTTGACCTTAAATGTTGTATTGTTGTTTTCAATTTAAGAAAGTTGGTTTGGACAGAATGAGTTCTGTTTACTTAAAAAAAATAATCTCGAATCTGAGTTTTTTTTATATACACAAAAAAAACTCAGTAAATAGTTATTCTTTTTTTTTTAATGCTTCTAATATAACAATAAATGATTAATTTAAACCTTTAAATTTTGAACATCTTGGAAATCTAAAAAAAATAAAACTAATCATTTTCAGATGAGAATTGCCAAGGAGAGAGGATATTTTCCCACCTCCACCTATTCAATTTAATTTTTTTAATTCGGGTTTGGCTGGATCGCCACTGATTTAGATTAAAAATTCACTTTATAATTTGGGCCTACTTAACTTGATGAGAATTTGTTTGAAATAAAGATTTAGAAAAATAAAACTCGAAGTTGACTCTATGACTATTGATCTCTCGATAAAAGCAATAGTCTTTCCATGTCTGATTAGTCTATTTTATCATTTTGTCGTTATAACGTTCTTGGAATGTTTGTTTTTGATATATCTATGTGTTTTGATTGACTAGTTAATTATGTTCGTGTCTAGATATTGACATCTAAGTATCTCACAGAAGTTCATATTGGATATATAAAAATTTAATTATATGCATTTGTGAAATTACCTTTTTAAGATGATCAATTTGTAATTTTAAAGTTCTCCCTTTCTTCTATCAAATAATAATAAAAATGAATTTATGAAACAAAAGTAGCACCTATGGAAAATATTTTCTCTAAATATTTACGTGAAATTACGTAGGTAATTTTGCCATCTTTTTTATTTTTTATTTTTTAGTAATGACTGTGTTTTTTAATCAATTTTTACTGTAAGATTACTAAAGACTTTTTTTTTTTTTTTTGTTAGAAGCTCACTAAACTATTCACACTCATTATAAAATTATTAAAGACTATTATTTTTTTGGTAGAAGCTCGCTAAATCTTTCACACTCGGAATGAGATTTTTTTATTTTTTCAATAACGTTGATATTTTTGAATCAATTTTTATTATAAAATTACTAAAGACTATGTTTTTTTTTTTTTTTTGTAGAAGCTCACTAAATTATTCACACTCATTATACAATTACTGAAGACTATATATATATATATATATTTTTTGGTTAGAAGCTCACTAAATTATTCACACTCGTTATAAAATTATTAAAGAGTATTATTATTATTATTGTTATTATTTTGGTAGAAGCTCACTAAATTATTCACACTCGGAGTGAGATGTTTTTTTTTTTTTTTCAGTAATGGTGGCGTTGTTGAATGATTTTTATCATAAAATTACTAAAGACTTTTTTTTTTTTTTTTGGTAGAAGCTCTCTAAATCATTCACACTCGGAGTGAGACATTTCTTTTGTTTTTTTCCCTTCAGTTTTCCTTAAATTTGAGCCTAAAATGATTATTTATGATGCGGAAAAAACTCAGTTATGGCTTAAGCGCCATTTGCAATTAGATTATGGTCTGTTAAAGTCAAATTAAGATTTTGTTATCCGTACAAGTTACTACAACTTATATTGATATTTTCCCCTCTCTCAACCCAAAAATCCTCTCAATGGAAAGGAATAGGAAACAAGATTTTGGTCAGATATATGAGAAAATATGTCTGAGAAAATCTTTGCCGACGAGACGGCCCTAAATATGACACGTTAGCCAAATTATGGTAATTACATGTAGTAATCACTAATCATAACATTTTAGCTCAAAGATCGCATCACAGATTGACCAATCAAGTGTTTACCGTCCAATCTCGCTTTCGGGACCCACAAAATCAAACCTTTGGTTTACTCTTCTGAGCCACCATGCACATGCGAAATCAGACTTTTGGGAACCCAGATGGGCCCTACACTTCTGGCCCAATATGAGAAAGAAGAAAGGAAAAAGAAGACAACCCGATGGGGGTACACGTGAAGATAGTATGGGACTACCGTACCCCATTACCGTCGATATTTCTTTTTCCACGTGGCAATTATGACTAATGGTCGACACCGCTAATCATGTTACACGTGGCTCTTGACTATTACAATCATGACAATTGGGATGTTGAAATATAATCAGGCAAAACTATTTCTTTTGTTGCAGTTAGATCCTTGAATTATGTTTGGTTTGTTATATGTGAACGCTCGGAATAATAATTTCTCAAAAAATCATAAGGTTGTACCACAAGTTTGAAGCTTTTGTGTCTTTTATATTGATTGTTACAAATTAGATCAAAAATCGATTAATAAAAATTATAATCATAATCGTATTTAGTACGAGATAATGACAATTATATATATATATATATATATATATATATATAAGAATAGTTTAACTTGAGTTTTATATATACATTTCATGCATGAAATTCCATTGCATTTACGAATATTGTTTTTTAAAAAATAATACTTATAATGTATTCATATATTTTTTTAAAAAATTTGATCAAAAAAGTATTTAGCTCCGATTTATGATTTTTGTTTTTAAGTTTTCTTCACGTGTTCTTATTCCATATTAGAGATGAAATTAATATTGCTTGAGACAGAAACAATAAGATTTAACCCTTCTTTATAAATACGATTTTAAAATTCAAATTTTGAACATTTATAAAAAATTTATCCGAATATCAATTCGTTTACGATAACACCAATAAATTATTAGTTTACTTTATGAAATTTAACACAAGAATACTACATTTATGTGTTTTTACATGATTTGTAGATGAATATATCAAAAGGCCAAAACAATCAAAAGTTTGGATCAGTGTAGAAATCCAACTCCAAAGGGGGCAAATGCAAGTCATCTGGACATCTGGTTGAAGCTTATAATGGGGCTTCAAAAGTTCTTACAAGTTCCCACTCATCTACCGACAAGTAGTTGAACTAGTAGAAGGGAATTTGAAGATGTTTTTGTTTTAAGAGATTTCTCTTGCAGCTTTACCATTTGTCTAAGAAGAGTTCATTTTGTTATGGTGGGAACTCGAAGCATGATTTACCAAGTTATAGGGTCCTACAAAAATTGTGAAAAATCATTCATGCTCAATGCTCAGAGCAAGTTGCATGCTCCATCTTTTTTCTAAAAAGAATTATATATATATAAGGGAAACACGAAAACTCCTTGTGCCCATGGTGGGGCTTATATGACAATGGCGTGCTGGAAAAATGGTTCTTGGCACCTCGTTTTCTTTCCTTAAAAGTACTATTTTTTTAAGGAAATTTTAATTTTGTGTTCACAAGAGTGGAAAAATGAAAATTTTGATGGGTGGACGAGAATAGATAGACATGATAATCCAATAAAAAATAAATCAACTTTTATGAGTAGATTAAATAATAATATAAATGGAATGGTCATGTCCAGCCGGTCCGACATACCAAACAATACTCATGCTTTTATTTCAAAACAACAATATAATTAATTTAGTGAGAAATGTCTAAGAGGAATATAAAAGAGTAAGAAAGACCGAAAGTTCCATCACCTCATGAATTTTTTTACAAATGTTTGGTTGGTATAGAAGCACGTGGATTGTGATTTAATCACATTTGAATCTAAAAATTTTGCACAATAAATTATCTATGTTTGTTTAAGAAATTAAAACGATTGCATTCTTAGTGTGACAATCCTGAAAGTAACATTAACTAATAGAAAGGTAGGTAGAAATATGTCTTGGATTTCTCACTTTTAACAAATTTTAATTATTAAATTATGAAGATCGATGTAAATATATCTTATAGTGTAATATATTATAAAAAATATATAGATATATTGGATCCGTTATATAAATACTTAAAGATGTTTTAATAATCTCAATTGTTTAAACTATAAATTATACAAGTATCTTTTATATTTGTAGTTGATTGAAATCATAATTAGAACTCTTTGTATAATCATATAGTAGACATACTTGCTAATTTGTTAAAAACATGTTCTGAGTTTCTAATTTTTAATTGTTAAGCTATGAATAGTGATTGGTTGTAGTTTGTAATTTAGTACGTTATACCAAAATTTATAGATGTATTATATAAAATTTATTAAATATTTTTTTAATAATCTCGGTTATTTATACTATAAATATGGACTATATTTATTATATTTGTAATTGATAGAAAATCTAATAAAAACTATTTGTGCAGTTGTGGAGTAGGTATATTTGCTGAACCATATAAATTTTGTATCGTGTAATTATTTATTATATTTTTATTTTATTTAGTTGCTCAATTGGTTTTCTAATATTAATGTGTGAACAAGAAATAAAATATTAGCCACAAATTTTTGCAACTTTTTAAAAGCTTTATGTAACTTATGTATATAAACGTGGAATAACATATATAATAAGCATTTAAGCATATCTGCATATGAACACAACATTTAACTAATTAGCCTTCCAAAACCTTTTTGCATTAATATTTTGTACACAAAAATATATTGGAAAAATAAATGTAATAGTTATTTATTAATATAAGAAAACGAAATGAATGCAAAACTTACGGGTCATCTCCGACAAGCTAGGAAGACAAGCTGACTCTCAAGTCGAAATTAAGATTTGTATCGTGTTGTTAACACAATTAATATTTACAATTTTATTTTTATTTTTGTGTCAAACTTGACTTTGTTGAAATTCAAAAGAACACCGAAAACACACGACATTGTCCCACTTTGGATTACATGAAAGATTACGAGGAGGAAGAAAAGTAGGACAAAAAAGGGAGCATGTTTTGTCGTTGTCCTATAAAATTCCAAAAGTGATTTCGTTTTTTTTTTTTTCATTTCATAAATAGAGGTCTGAGTCATGCATCCAATCAGAAGTCAAAGAAAGTGTTTAGACGACACTCATCCAAGTTATATGGCTAATTACGTATTCAAACTTTACCTTTTTTGAATTTTTTGCCTGTCAAAAGGGTTAGCACAAGACATTTCTTTCCAAGACTCCCTTTCACCGTTGGTTTTGTACTTGGGCATTTTCCTTGCCGATATGTGTTGACCTTTGCCTATTAACGTTTTAGTCTTATATTTTACATAACGGTGTTGCCCATAGTTCTTATAAAGTGCAAGCATATTATCACTTAACATATTTTGCACATATCTGGTCTGTTTTTTAATTTCAAGATATGAAAATTGATTCGAAAATATAATCTAATATTAGGTCGATAAATTAACGTGTAATCATTAATTAACATGTATGCTTGCAATTTCAAATCTTTTGTTCATAACATCGGAGTGGCGATGAGCATAGAGGTAGCATGAACATTGACGTGGTAATTGTTGAATTTTGGCATGATGTTGGCATTACAATGTCAGAAATTGTGTCAAGCCAGTTCAGATTATGTTTTGACAAGGTCAGGGATTGAGCCATACCTTTCTAGCTATTAACACAGAAAGAGAAGCCGCAAAAGATTATGATTCATGCAATTCAAGTTGGGTTGTGAAACAATCTCATGTTCTAACTATAAAGCATTGTCGATTTGAGGTGGGAAATGTCTCAGCAGCAAGACGACGGAAGATTGGTCCAACGCGGAGATTAGTTGTTCCTGCCAGTGCCACGCTGTCTGAAAGTAACACTTGAGCTTTGACCCTAAAAGGTGGCTTCTCGAATATTTCCGGGTAACATCCAGCCCATTCCTAATCTGGGCAAGAATTGAGTGGCTAACTTTGAGACTGGGCCCTTTTGCTTAGTGAAAGCCTGAACTTTAATGAAAGTGTTGGAGAAAGGCCTTCACGGCGTCCTATAAAAGGAAAAATGGGGCCAGGATCACTGAGCATGTCATTCTTTTTTCACATTTCCACCTCCAAGTTTTAGCTTTCCAAGCTGCCCAACAATGATTTCATGCCCTGGAAATGACAGCAGGTGATGCATTTCAAATTAACTTTCAAGCTTTGTGCTAATAACATCTTGCCCTGCCATGCATGCTCACTTGGAAAATATACCATTGGGACTAGATGATGATGTTAATTTGTTTTTTTTTTTGGGATTTTTCAGGTATCCTAAGCTTAAAAATCAAGACTAATCTCTTATCGTTCGGTCATATGTACAGCTATTTAAAAAGTTTTTTGTATATATAAAACTCAAACTTAAGATCATTTGTTTAGAAAATGAGAATTCCTTCTACTCAAATCAAGAGTGACTAGATGGTTTTAATTGTTAACTCTTCCAGACTTTCCAAATCTTCCTGGCAAGAAATTCGACAAGCAATAAGAACTCCAGCTCCTTGAATTATCACAACCCATTATTAAAATATCAGCTTGAAAATTTCGTGACAATCTACTACGGGCTGTGGATAATTAAATGGGCCAATCCGAGACTTTATTTTAGGTGTCCCGACTCCATTAAATAATATGTACACAATTTTGAATACTCCTAAATGTTAATATTTTTTAATATTTGTATTTTGTAAATAAAAATAGTGGATTTTAAAAATTGTGTAGAAAATTATTATTTTAATCTGGTCGTAAATTGATAATTTGTGCTATATGAACTAGTAAGCCCGGCCCATCAACATAGATGGTCCCATTCTGGGTTATAAATTGCTAGGCCTATTTTCTACCAAGCCCAATATCCAGCATGGCATAAAGAACAAAATGGATCTGGGAACCCAGCTAGGCCTGCCGGTTAAGCAGGTTTAGGGAGAGTCTGGCTTGGCAATTGGCATAAACAAACAAAATATTATCAATTATCAAACAAAGTCTTGCTCGAATTTGATCTACAGTAGAGGCAAAATCCAAACCCTCGCACTAGAGTATTGTTAGTAGGGGTGAGCAAACGGTTCGGTTAACCGAAAATCGAATAAAATCGAACCGAATTATGAAATTTGGTTCGGTTTTAAATATAAAATTATACAATATAAAATCGAATCGAAAAAACCGAAATTATTTCGTTCGGTTCGGTTTTTAGAAAAAAATTCGGTTTCGATCGAAAACCGAAATAAAAAGTAAAAAATTTCCTAATTTCTAAATCCCTAACTTTTCAATCTTCATTCTTGTTAAAATTGAAACACGTAGATGAGAAGTAAATTTTGAGGACCGTTGGGGTAAGAAACGAAAGTGACAGAGTGTAATTAATTCGGATACTCGTGTGTTTGAATGAGCAAATTTATTACACTTGGACTCGTTTTCATTAAAGCTTGGTTAAAATCTTCAAGGGCTTTGTGATTGTTTATAAAAAGGATTAATTGATAACAAGATGTTACTTCATTGGCTAGTGGACTAAGTGCTAGTACAAAACATCTCTCTGTAATGATTTTTTTTTATAGTAAAATATTTTGGTTAAAACCGAAATATTTCGAAACTAAACCGAAATAATTCGGTTACAAACTGAATTTACTGAATTTATTTCGGTTCGGTTTTGGTTTTTTTTTTTTAATTTGGTTAACCAAAAACCAAACCGAACCGTTTAACCAAATGTTCACCCCTAATTGCTAGGGCATGAAACGGTACTAGTAAATCCATTCATCCTAAGTACCCCAAGATTTCTACTTTGGGCCTATAGTTTCTGGTAAGTTCAATTTTTTTCTCCTCCATTTAAACATATCCCAATCTACCTCTATGGTTTTCAATTTCTCTCAATTACCACAAATGTAAAATCTTCCCTCTCAAACACTTTCACCAATTAAGATGAATATTTTATGAAATTTAGGTTAACAAGATTGACCAATTATGTTCACATTGTTATTAATTTATCAATTTATCTAACATTTAATTTTGTACTCTTTAAATTTTTTGAATGATACCCTTTTTTTTTTTTTACTTCGATTCAAATTTTTTATTTTTAAAAATTTATCGATTCAGATCCTTTGTTGTTAATTATTAATAACAAGTATACATATGGTATAATAAACCTTAAATATCATAAGATTCTATAAAAAGAAAAACTAAAATTAAAAATATTTTTATTATTAAACTATCCAATAGTATATAAAAATAAATGGAAAAAGATAAAACTGCCCCCAACCCCATTGTCAACACCTGACTCAAATCTTTTTCATTGTTAAGCTTTATTTTCTCCATGCTCTTCGTCATGCTCCAGTTCTCTCTGCCTGAAAAATTGTAATCCCGAAATCTGGCCATCGGTTGCTTGTGGACATGGCTTTACCTTGCATTCTCGCGGACGTAAACTGTCTATGGAAGCTGAGAGCGTCAACAATACCATTCCCTGCCAACAAAGACCAAAAGCACAATTCGCTCAAACAAATTTAGGCCCGTATCAATTCTCAAGTACTGCTCTATGATTTTCAAGGACCAAGAATAAAAGATTATGATCGGATCTAACAGTGATAACAAAGACCAACATAAAGAATTTACTCGACGATTTGTTTGCAGGTCTAGAATACAGAGCCTTGATTGGTTATTAGAAGCCCAATTACATCATGAAAACCAGAGGCGATAGTCCCTGCTTGGTCATAAGCTTAGTATAAAGGAAATGAAAGGGGAAAGTCCTGATTTCTTAACACTGCATAGATGCAAGAGAAAATAATGATGGTCTTGAATCGGCCCAGGTAAGCATCAGCGCAAGACGCTCCAAGAAGTGTAAGGACACAGGCAGCTCCAATCCAGTCAGTCACATGAGCTGCAGCATCTGGAAGTGATTGATGCATTTGAAAGACCAAGTAAAGCCAGAGAGAACGGGAGCTCGACGAAGAGTACAGAGGAAATAAAGCTTTATAATGAAAAAGAATCTCTGCCCCCTTGTGCGCCCAGATAATACGAAAGGACTAGTCTTGCTTCCGAGATTGGGATACCTTGGCATCCAAAAATAAATAAATAAATAAACAAAAAGAAAGAATGAGTTGGGTGCTGATAATGGGATTGACGTAGTTTTGTCTTTTTTTCATTTATTTTTATATATTAATTATTAGTTTGATAATATTTTTTTAATTTTAGTTTTTTTTCCAGAATATTATGATACTTGAGACCCATTTTGCCATGTCTTTATTCTCAATTGATGATCTTTATTCTAACACATCACGTTATATGAATAGTTAACAAAAAATTGAATAAATAAATTTTTAATAATATATGGTTTCAATCAAGTTATATAAATAAAAAAATTCAGAAAATACAAAGATAAAAAATGAGGTAAATCTCATTATTATTTACATGTTTAGCGGTTAGAAGTTTTTTCGAACCAAGTATCAACTGAAAATTCTTATCTCCAAAAGATCTTGGTCTGTTATATTTAATTGAATAAATTTTCGAGATGCTGGCTTTAAGGTTTAACTTCATGGGGATGAAAGCCTTTAGCCACCAGGCTATCCCTTAAAATTACTGTGTTGAATGCTAATGGTATTAGCAAAGTAATGTTTCTTAATCAGTTATTTTTTAAGAGAAACAAACGGGACAATTTGAAATCAGGGATCAAATTAAAACAATTTTTTTAATAATATAGGCTAAGATGTATTTTGTTTGAACATAATTTCAGATAGAGCTAGTTAGGTACTTGTATGAAAAAAATGGTTAGACAAATAATGTTAGCGCCCCTAATTGTTTTTGTAATACTATTATTTCAAATTACTTTCATATGAATTGAGAAATCACTATTTTTTTTTTAAATTTTCGATGGAAATTTGTTTGATTTGTGAAAAAGTAAAGGAAATTGAATCTATTTAAGTTTTTTTTTTTTGACAAGTAGTATCTTTTTCTTATTTTCTTTTCATCTAATAAATTTTTATTTACTATTTTATTATAGAAAGATACAAAGTGGACATTTGTTGGCTTATACAATTAAAAGCACTCAATTTTGATAAATTTTTGAAAGTACATAAAATCAAATACAAAAAGTAAAGTGTATGTATATATACACTCAATTAAAAATAAAGTAAAATTTCACACACACTTTCCATACATGTTAACATTTCACGTGGCGATTTAATAGCCATGTCATTATATATTTGATGGAATCTAATAAAAACACTTGATTAGAAAAATCTTAAAAGTTTAGGCATATGTAGTAAAATTAATAGTGACACTCAAATAGAAACAATAAAAAAGTTTGCATACCAAATGTATAACATAGATGGTCTCATTCTGGGTCATAAATTCTTAGGCCTATTTTCAACAAAGCCCAATTGACAGCTTGGGATAAAGAACAAAATGGATCTAGGGACCCAGCTAGGCCTGCCGGTTAAGCAGGTCCAGGGAGAGTCTGGCTTGGCATTTGGCATTAGGGATGACACTAAGGCTCCCTTTGTTTGGGAGAAAACAAGTTCTATAGAAAAACCAATTCCCGAGGAAGCTATTTTTCTGAAAATTATTTTTCAAGAAAATGTTTTCTGCTGTTTGGTAATTATATGAAAAAGCTACTGAAAAATATATTCCAACGTTTGTTTGATACAGAAAATTAAAATACAAAAACTTATGTGATTGTTATATCAACAAGTTTTGAGAAAATTTTAAAAAGAAATTCATAATTTCATAATATAAGATACATTTAGAAAAATTTAATAAATTTTCATCGATACTAACTCTAAAATTTTAATTCAAAAAATAAAAGATACTTTTTAACAATCAAACCAAATCATCAAAATTACTTTGGGACAAAATTAAGTCAATATTCATATTTGGTAAAAAAAGATTCTAAGTAATCTTAGCATTATTATTTTAGTAACTCAATTAAGAATTTTTTTTTAAGAAATTGAACTGATAATTTAGTCTAAAAAATAATTTTATAAGTTATTTGTTATCATCTATAGATAATTATTTATTTGATCTCAAAAGATTAATGTTGGAATAATTTGTAACTAATTATTCATTACAATTACCAACAAAATTTTACAATTGATTAAAATTATAAATTATTGATTTAATTCCAAATGGATAGTGTTGAAAAAATAATGTATTTATTGATGAATTAATTAATTTTAATTTCTTTTTACAAAAAATTATAGTCTTGTAATAATCATTTTCAATAATTTAACTATAACTTAGGTCGTGATCGAGACAATAGTAAAAAAAAGAGATAAGTCATTGAAATATTTATTATAAAAATAATTTTAAGGTGTAAAAATGGTTTTTAAGAATATTTAATGTATCTATAAATAAAAAAAATCAAATATTAGTAAAGATAGAGAAAAAAATAATTAAACAATTAATAATAATTGATAAGAAATAATTAAAAATTAATATGATATATTTTAAATAAAAAGAAGATAGAGAAAAAAATTGTTAAAATATATCGAGAAAGAGTTATGTAACGAGAGAGCGAGACGACTCGTGAGAAAGAAAATGTTTTCCTCTTTTGAAACCGGTAAAACATTTTTTCAAAATTACTCTATCATTTTCTCGTTGATCGAAAATCATTTTTCATTAACTTTTTCCCCGAATGTGAAAGAAACACTCGAAAAATAAGAAAACAAGTTTCAAGTTCCAAAAACTTGTTTTCCTCCGAACAAACTCGACCTAAATGAAGTAAAATTTCACGCACACTTTGCATACGATTTAACATTCCACTTTGTGGAAATACAAGAAGTAATTTAATTTTTCTTTTTTGAAAAATCTTTAAAAATGGTTTTTCATAAAAAAAAAATACAAAAATAATGTTGCAACATTGATTATAGGATTAATTGCTTTGATTACCGACGTAATTCGATGGTTGGAGGATGGTGAGCTAGCGAGGAACAATATAACGTGGAGAAGCATTGGGAACCTTCTTCCTCCGGCACCCATCCGAGTTTTTAATTTCTTTCTTTGAAGCCTTGCATCTTATGATCTTTTAGCTATATGTTCTAGTTGGATACCCGTGCTATGCTTGTGGGTAGACAACCGTTACATACATAAGGTTAATGATTCATATGTGTAATGTAAGTAAAAAGTTTTATTTTTGGTGATTATAAATCGAATATATATATATAGTTAATTTTTAACGAAACTAATGACACACACACACACACACACATATATATATATATATATATATATATATATATATATATATATATATAGATTTAGAGTATATAGAATAAATAGAAAAAAAAACCACCTAAATTGTAGAAATATATCGAAGTCAATAGATTAAAATAAAAACTATAATAAAATTGGTTACGATAAATTCCGAATAAATACATATGAAAAAGCAAATAAAACTTATGAATTTTTTGAACTCATAATTATTTTTTAAAAAAAAATTGAGCCAAACCATCTAAAACATTTAGCTCTCTCTCTGTATATATATATATATATATATATATATATATATAACACTCATTTAAAAATATAAAAATAAATTATTATATAAATTATAATAATATATTTTTAAAAAATAAAACATTGACGTTCTAAAATTTTATTCCAAAATTCATATATTAAAAAACCAAATTTATTAACAAATAAAATTAAATAAAAAAATAAAAAAATTAATTTAATGAGAAATTTAATAAGAAACAAATAATTGAAGAAATTTTTTTAAACAATAAGAATAAAATAATCAGAAATGTATGTTTAGGTCAAATATATAATCAATATTTGTTTTAGGATATTAAAAAGACCAATAATATATATGTTTTCTTTCCCGATGAAGGGACTAATTATATATGACCGATTAACTCTGTATATCACTTGCTGGAGATTTAGTTATGCTATGATAATATGTATATTGTTTTAAGAGTTTCCTTTTGCCTTTTGGTGATCCAATCCCAAAACACATCAAGATTTAAAATAATTAGTGAACTTTTTGTTTGTTCTATCATGAGATTGATGCCCGGACTTTTAAAAATATAAAATAAATTATAGGAAGAAAAAAAAAGCGAGGTCGCGTCTGGTTGGTACATATATTAATTTTTTTAAAAAAATTGAGTCACATTATTTTTTTAACTGATTATTATTTTTTAAAAAAAAATTAGGTAAAATTATCTAAAACACACTTTTAGCATCTCTCCCTCATCATAATTTATATATGCAATTACGGTACTCATTTAAAAATCATAAAAAATCAATAATATAAATTATAATAAGATATTCTAAAAAATAAAACAATCAAGTTCTAAACTTTTATTTCAAAATCCACATATAAAAAATCAAATTTATTAGCAAATAAAATTATATAAAATTAAAAAATTAATTCGATGAGAATTTTAATAAGAAACAAACAATTGAAGAACTAAATTTTAAACAATAAAAATAATATAATCAGATATATATGGTTAAAATAAAATTTTTTAAAATATTATATATATTCTATATACCATAAAATTGTACGTAAAACTAAAAAAAAAAAGATCTTTCTTATAATTTTTACACCTAATTTCATGATAAAAAATATAAAAATAAATTATAAAAAGGAAAAAAAAAGAATGCAAATGTTGGTTGGGACTACTTGTGCGGGCGTGCTTGAGCCCACTTCTCAAGGCTAGCCCTATAAAAAAAAAAGGAAATCGTTCTATAGGCCAACCTTAAAAAAAAAAAAAACTATAGTAAAATGAGTCGAGCCAATTGCTGAAGCCCGCTTCTCCAGGCCAACACTAAAAAAAAATAATAATAAATAAAACACTACGAGTAAATGAACAGGAAAAACCCTAGTTGTTTTATAATAATTATAATATTTGAAACACACTTATGGCTTTATCTTTCTCATCATAATTTATACATGCAATAAAGTCATTTTCATTGAAAAATCATAAAAACAATCAATCATATAAATTATAATAATATATTTTTAAAAAACTAAAACAATCGGGTTTTAAAATTTTATTTCAAAAGCCATGTATAAAAAAATCAAATTTATTAAAAAATAAAATCATATAAAATTTAAAAACTAATTTGATGAGAATTTTAATAAGAAACAAACAATTGAAAAAATAAATTTTAAATAATAAAAATAATATAATTAGATATATATGTTCAAATTAAAATTTTAAAAAATATCATATATATTCTATTACTATTAAACTATATGTAAAATAAAAAAAATAGCGATCTTTTTTTATATTTTCACACCTAATTTTATGATAAAAAAATATATAAAAATTATTTATCTAGAAGGGGAACAATTATCATCGGATATTTAAATAAATCATTTATTAATAAATATTATATTATTATAGCAATATATTTAAAATAATATTTAACTAATACAATGTAATATTAATTTAATTATATGGTGTAATTATCAAATATATTATATTACTAAAATACTTATCAATTTTTATAATATTCAAATTCATAAAATAATATATCAATATATTATTTATATCATAATATCAAAGAATAAAAAAGTATTATATTGTATAATAAATACAATATTCACAATTAAAATACAAATAAATATTTTATAATAATAATTTGATATTGTTTGTAAAATATAATGATAATATATTATAATTATTAACTATAAATAATTTTATTATTTTAAAAAATATATTTCGAATAAATAAGGACCTAAATAATATATTTGGCAATATAATAATAGTCTAATAAATATAGAAACTTAAAAAAAAAAAAAGAGGCCGGATGTTAAAAAAAAAAAACAAAAAAGCACTACATAAATACAATATTCACAATCAAAATAAAAATAACAATTATATAATATTTATTTGATTTTTTTTGTAAAATATAATGATAACGTATTATAATTATTAACTATAAATAATTTTATTATTTTAAAAAAATATATTTCTAATAAATAAGACCTAAATAATATATTTGACCATATAATAATAGTCATACAAATATAGAAACTGAAAAAAAAAGGAGGTCGGATGTTAAAAACAAAACAAAACGAAAAAAACACTACTACTTTTTTTGTAAAATATATTGATAATATATTATAATTATTAACTATAATAATAGTCCTACAAATACTTTAATAGTTAGGAAAGAGGATAAATTAGTCAACAAATTATATTACCTCCAAGGCAATGAAGGTTGCGAGTCTATTCATTTGAGAATGGAGAGCGATGCATGAGTGAATAAGTTAATATATATCATTGGATCCGGAAGAATAGATGGCGTTAAAAAAAAATTAAATAAAAAGGAGGGACTCGCTATAGTAAACGAAAATGGCCAAAAGGATAAAAAAAAATTAGTTTTCAAACCAAAAGGACTAATTAATTTATTCCCCAAAGAATTTTTTTTATTTTTTTCTATTTATTAAAAGAAAAAATAAAAATAGTGAAAAGGATAAAAAAATTAGTTTTCAAAACAAATAGACTAATTAATTTATCTCTCAAAGAATGAGGGACCAAAATGTAAAAAAAAACATGCATTAATAATGACTTTGAGTGTGTAGCTACGGTAAATGAATAGTTATACCGTCACTTCTTTTAGTTTTTTTTATACGTAAGGGATCTCTAAGTAGTTAAATAGCTATTTGGTTTAATTATGAAAACTTAACCCTTGCTATTGGCTTGTAGTCAATTAATGTATCATTCATTGTTTTTAAGCACAATAATGCACAACTAGGGATGAGTACTCGTTTAATCGATCGATCCGATAGATCTGTTTGATGATATTTTTATGGAGTAGATTTGAGGTTTTTTTTCCTTAAATTTTTTTAGTTTAAATTTTGGAATCAATATCTATCTAATGTACATGTATTATTAAAACAATTATCTTTTATGGTTCTTATGGAATTTGATTTGGTAGTTTATTAATATAAATATCTCTCTTCCTTTGAGAAGATGGTTTTTTTTTTTTTTTTTTCCCTATCATTTAAAACTCAATTCATAAAGAGATTACATCTATCTCGTATCAAACATAATAGGAGATTATTTTAAAAACCTAAACACAACAAGTTTACATAAGTAAAGATTAGCAAAGTAATCTTGTATAAACAAATACTCTATATGTAGTGGTTAATAAGATTTATTTATTTCCTTGATGTATATCCTTAATAGTTTTTGAATTATGAAAAAATGTCGTAACACCACTTCAACCACCAAGCATTCATTAAAAACGAAATGAAATCCCATAGCATCTCGAACACCATTTCAACCTTATGGCTCCCGAGAAATGGAAAGAAACATATTCTATTTTATCCCAAAGTCCTCACAGGGCATAGAATTGAATCCTTGATGATCACTTATAGGAATGACATAATGCTAATCCATGTTCTGCATGGTCAAGGAAGCATTGTTTTTTAATCTCATTATGACTTGGTCGTTTGGAAGAGATTCTTTCTCGATCAGAATAGTGTGGAATGGAAAATTAAATTTTTTATAAGTTTATACCAATTATGGATTACCTCTATTATTCTATTATTTTGATGATTAATTAGTTCCTAAAAGTTTTATTTTGATCATAAATAACATGCTCTCAAAAATCAATCACAAACAAAAAATATAAAAAATTGCAACTAATTTATTTTGGGTTGCAAATTACCCATTTTTAGTAATGGTTTCTGTTGTTGTATTTGAAATTTACTATCATAAGTTGAAAAATGTTAGTGTGAAAGTTAGTGAAATAATAAGCAAGGGTAATTGAGCAAGCACTCTTTCCGAGAGACTTTGAACTGCAACAGCAAGGGTAATAAACAAGGGTATACTTTCAGGATTGGTAAGAATATGATTTTTTGCATAATGATGAATGGTTTGGATCTTGCTTTATTAAAACTCTTGTGCTCTAATTTCAAGCCTCCTCATTTAAAATCTTTTTAAAATTCCCTTTTAATTTGTTTTTCATGTGTGCTATAAAATTGAAATAAATATACTTCATTCCACCAGTTGCTTAGCATGACAG